TTTGATCCCTCTGTTCGAGGGGTTGTCTAATTGGCAGTGGTGGATGAAACTTGTCCTTGTTCTCCTGATACAACCTCGCCAGAGTGACCTTCAGCGGAGTAATCAACTCTTCCTCCCTGGTCCTTTTTTCGGCCTTCCAAGTGGTCTGACGTTGCGGCTGAGCCTGCTTCTGCCTGATCTTTGCCTTGGACTTTTCCTCGGTCGACACAAGCGACGTTGTCCGAGCATTAGCTGCCTCCTCTTCTTCGAGGCGCACAAAGCCATCGGCTCTCTCATTGAGTTCATCCATGGTAGCTGGCGTATTCACTACCAGACTGGTGTGAAACGGAGTTCCGCGTGTCATGGCTAACTTGAAGGCTTGAACTGCCGTAGAAGGATGGCATTCGATTACCATACTCTTAGTGAGATTAAACCTGGTAAGAAAGGCCTGGAGCCGTTCATCCTTGTGTTGCCGCATCGTGAACAGGCTCGAGATGTCCTTCGGCGGGCGTTTGTTCCCATAGTACTGGCTTATGAACCGATCGCACAGGTCCCTGAAACTGCCAATGGAGCTCCTAGGCAAGTTTTTGAACCAGCTGAGCGCCGGTCCGGCCAGACTTGTAGGGAAGCATTTGCACATTAAAGAGTCGTTTTCCGTATTCAGGGCCATTTTCAACTGGATATGATACACATGATCGATCGGATCGGTTGTTCCGTCAAACAGAATAAAGACTGGCATAGCAAACTTCCTTGGATGCGGCGCATTCAAGATCTCGTCGGTGAATGGTGAATCCACCGTCCGAGCTGCGGATCGGAGAGCTTCATTCTCTCTCTGGAGTCCAGTGGTAGCTCTGTGAGTTACGGTTCTGCCCTCCAAACCGTGATGAGTGACAGTAACCATGGAGGGCCGGTAAGACGGATCGAACGACCGTTCCTCTATGAACTCTCTCTGCCAAGGCGACGCTACTCGACGGCGATCTACCTCCATCACTTCCTCTCGGTCAAACCTTTCCCGCTGCGGATCAACGTGAGTCGAGCCTTCGTGATCTTCAACTCGACGAACATTTGGCGGCGAATTGTCCATCATCCTTTCATCACGGTGGTGAGCTGACTGATTGTTCTCGTTCTGATCGCCTTGATGCGCGATACTAGATGGAACACCTCCTTCTCCGACCGGAAGCGGATGCGAAACTGCGGGTATTTGCCGATGCTGCAATCCAGCTTTCAATTCTGCATTTTCTTTTCTGAGAGCTTCAATCAAATTCATCAACTCTTCAAGCTTTGTTTGCTGGACAGCCTCCATCGGATTGGAGCTTTCACCTATCATTATTCCCGAACGGAGTAAAGGCATTAATCTCAAGTTCGCGAGTAGATCTAAGCTTCGTGAGTAGGAATTTTTAGATCTGGCTTCTAATTCTACGAATTATGCTCACTGTTTACAAGATCTGAATTGCCTGGACTCTAAATCCGTCAGATCCTGTCACAATCGAGCAACTCGCGGTTGCGTAGATCTGAAGTCACTCCTGCCAAAGCTTCAAGAATCGTAATTCCTCCAGAGTAGGTCACAATCGCTCAGATCTGGATTCAAATCCGCAAGATCGAGTCTCGATCAACCGAATTGGTTTGAATCCATTCGATACTCCTCATTGATCAACCAAACTTTTATGCGTTTCCCACAGACGGCGCCAATTGAAGATGCAAGAAACTCCTTCTATTCTTTCTCTCTCTAGAATTCTTACACCTCAACCCGAATCAAGATCCCCATCCTCTTCATTCCAACTCCTATTTATAGATACTTACCAGATATTTACAAGATATTTACAAGATATTTACTAATTGCTGGACCTGGGCCTATTCCTCAGTAAGCCCTGGTCACTCTTGATGGGCTTACTCCCGCTCGGCCCATATGGTAGTGTCTTTCTATGGGCTGACCCAGCTGTTCGGACTGAAGGTTGTGTTTTGCGAGTCGGACCTGGCCCATGTCATCCAGGGCCTCCTCAATATATATACATATCTAAAGATAAATCTTCCTGATATTTTAAGATATTTTTTCTTGTGTGGTCAGAACAGCCTCGTGAAAATGGTGTGAGATTAAATCATGAAGGGTTAGCAGATCAAATGTCCAAGTGCATATATATGCCTTTCCATCTTCTTAATTTCCCTTTCATTTTGTCGTACTGCTTCAAGCATGTGATATTATTATGTCATACTGGTTGTCTACCTTCACACTAAAATACGAATTCAGGACCATATATATATATATATATATATATATATATATATATATATTATTCAACACTAAGATACTTTCAATCTCTAATACCTATCTATCACTAGCTAATTGATTTGGTGCTAAGACTTAAAAATTATGAAATAAATAACTAACTAACTAACATATTACTAATATGAACATTTTGTTAGATTTATAATCAAGACCGGTAGATAAAGAGACATGCAATTAATTGATGAAGAACATTTAAGAACAAATTAATAAATAAAAAGATCATTTGAAATAAGTTTGACAAAGAATTATTAATATTGTGAAAAATTTTGCCAAAAATAGTTTGGCATTTCGTGGAATTATTATTATTTTTTTTTGAAAAGTATCTCAAGGAAGCAATGAAAACATATATCATATGTCCAAACATGGTATCTCGAGGAAACAATGAAAACATATAAATATGTTAGCATTTGAAAATAAAAAAATAAAAGAAGCAAAATTTGTTTTTATGTATATGTGATTGCACTTCATATACAAGTTATCAATAGTAAATGTCTCTTATGTTATAGAGTGTAGATTTTTCCGACAATTTCAATAAAAGTAGAATAATATATTTTAGAATTTTTAAAAAAAATTGATATATGTGAAAAATACTTTTTTTTTGATGAACTTAAAAATGTAATAAAAATGAAAAATTTTGCCAAAAATAGTTTGGCATTTCGTGGAATTATTATTTTTTTTTTTTGAAAAGTATCTCAAGGAAGCAATGAAAACATATATCATATGTCCAAACATGGTATCTCGAGGAAACAATGAAAACATATAAATATGTTAGCATTTGAAAATAAAAAAATAAAAGAAGCAAAATTTGTTTTTATGTATATGTGATTGCACTTCATATACAAGTTATCAATAGTAAATGTCTCTTATGTTATAGAGTGTAGATTTTTCCGACAATTTCAATAAAAGTAAAATAATATATTTTAGAATTTTTTAAAAAAATTGATATATGTGAAAAATACTTTTTTTTTTGATGAACTTAAAAATGTAATAAAAATATATTAAACTTAATATTAATAATAGAAGAAGACAAGGATATGGCAATGGATATACAATGAAAGAAAAAAAAAAATCAAGGTATGTGTGCGAAAAAGAATACCCACACATAAACACTAACGCATTCTAAATCACTTGATTTGACTAGATATTCATTGTGCACGATTTCATTTTATATTTGGAAGAATTTCAGTTCAAGATTGGAATCATAATGTCAAATATCAAGCAAACAATTTTCACTGTCAAACATTTTTTTTGGGTAGTTTGTAGTGTAGTGACAGTGGCAGTAGCAAAATGAGTGGTCTTTGTCACAACGATTTTTATTTTGTTTTTGGTTTTCCATACTGTCATGTCAGATATGAAATGTGTGGCATTCAGATTATGATGACTTAGTCCAAAGAACAGAACTAAAGATGACAGAGTAGCAAGGGCCTAAGCAAATGAGCAGCTTTACTTTTTATCACCTCCAATTGTCCTTTCTGTTCAAGCGGAGCCCAGTGACACTTGAATAAAAGCTTTAATTCGTCAAGACCGTAGCTCGCCCAAAATAGGTAATTTGGAGCCCAATTTTGCCAAAACTAATCCAACAACATCCTAATTATGGGACTAACTACTAGATTATTGGCTATACTATCTACTTACAAAATTCAAAATGGACAACTCTATCAAATCAATCCATCTATAATTCCGGAGGAAGAATTCTTTAATTTGCACCAGGGGTGCATAAAAAAAAACCTTGGAATAGAACCGTGGCTTCAGTTCCGGTTCTCACAGTTCGGGTTCTAGACCCATGAGAACCGTTAAGAACCGAAACCGTGTGTGTGTGTATATATATATATATATATGATTATATATATTATTAATTACATTTCTACTAATCTCATTCATACCAATATACCATACATTCATCCAGCACTGCAGTAAATCAGTAACACGTGATCCACACTAAACCACAAAAACAAAAATTCATCTAAAGTTCTAAACCTAAACCTAACCATCACCTCCCCTCATCTCAAGTTTCAACTCTCAAATTAGGCGGCTTCTTCATCGCCCCTGCCTCCTCTCATCTTCAGCTCCTCATCCTCTCATCTTCTCATCATTCATTCATTCATTTTCAATCCTCGCTCCTCATCCTCTCATCTTTTCTTCAGTATCCGGAACAAGAATTGTGGAACCGAACCGGTATTCACGGTTTGGTTCGGTTCTATGCACACATGGTTCCGGTTCCGATTTCACTTTAAAGGAACTGTCCGGTTCTGGTTCCTGTCGGAACCGTATCGAACCGTTTGCACTTCTGATTTGGACTCTATAAATTTAATCATGTTAACACATTAACCGTTAGAAAACGCAAGACAAACATTACACAAAGTTGTTCCTCGCACCAAAATTTAGACCATTGCTTAATTGTGTTGGAGTCCAACCCCACAAATACGATCGAACTTATGTCAGTTTTGCTCTGGACGTGTCTTAGAATTATTTCAATTAGGGATCTGTACCAGTTTTGTTCCGGTACATGTCTTACTATTATTCAATCATCCGCCTCTATTATATGGTTGAAGATGGTAACTATATATATATATTTTTGGATGTTTATAAATTTATAACTAATAATTTCAAACTTGTCAAATCAAATAAAACCTTAAATCTTGATATATATTCTTATTTCTTTAATATGATCCGTGTATATATATATATTCTTAACAGGAGTAGCACTGTGTAGAAGAGAAGATTCAAGGAATTATTGAAAAATTAAAAGTAGTGCGTAATAAGAATCAAAATACTGGTTTATTTTTTATTTTTTTAATATTTCTTTTCTTTTCACTTTTCTTTCGTAATACAAGGTTCAAAAAGTGAGGACACATGACCATACAATCATATTATAATGACTGAGTCTAAAGATCAAAAGCAAAGATGATGACTAGCCAAGGGCCTAAACAAATGACTTGCTTGAGTTTCAATCATCTGCAATTGTCCTTTCAACAAGTGCATGTACACAACCCAATCTCCATTCCCCACTGCACTTGGCATTGGCATCACATACCCGGCATCTCCGCCCCACGGAAAATGATACGACCCAAACGCCGCCTTCCCCCACCCAAAATCCATCTTTGCCACCGGAAACCTCTGCCCTGACGACACCACCACTGCTGGCCCACAATCCTCCTCCGAGCTACCACCGGCATATATCGTTGCCATAGTTGGTTCCGGACGGTGAGCCTCCACCCAGTCTATCAAACCCAAGAAATGCTCCCCTGTCACTGCGCTCTCCAAGCAATTGTGAACCGCCTCCGCCGCCCAGCTCAACGGCCTCTCCCTCAGCTCTCCGGCCGTCTTCTCCGCAAACGGGATGGACAACACATTCCCAAAGTAAGTTTTTATTGTCTCCCCCTCCTTGCCATCTCCTCCGCTGAGCCTCGTCCGCCCGTCAACCACAATGCCCATTTTGCACCTCTTACAGCTTCCACCCTCCCCGGAGGCGATTATCTTCCACAGTAAGGCGGTAAAGGCCTCGAGCTTAGTCCTCTTCTGTCCGGATCCTCTGGCAAGAGCTTGGAGCTCACTGAGCTGCTCAGCTTCCACGTAATAGATGCGGCTTATTAGGTGATCAACTTGGTTGCATGGATTGGGAGGTTGTAGGGCGGAGATGGGCACGTACATGTAGTCCATGGAGGGGTCGTAACGGCCGGGATGTCGCGGGTTGAGAAGAGATCGCCGGAATGACGGAAAAAGAGAGAGTGGTTTGGACTGAGCCGTCTCCGCCCATGATACAAGAAACATATTGGCCGAGTAGGCGTCAGCCACCCGATGGTCGAACGTGCATGCTACCACTAGCCCTCCGCATTTGAGTTCGGTGGCCTGTCATCATATTCAATCCAAAGTCATATATCACCGGTTTTCAATGATATATATATATATATCTTAATTTGCATTGGTCACCCATTCACACATTGTTTAGTGTTCTGATATTTTTTCTTTTAAAAAACTTTTAACAAAATAAAAAATAAAAAAATGCAGCTAAATGAGTTAAATCATTTTAAATTAATTTGACTCAAAAAAAAAAAAAAAAAAAAAAAAAAAAAAACTATTTTGTATTTCTATTTCTTTTATAATATGTTTTAAATATTATATTAAGTAAATATATGAAAAAAAAAAAAAAAAAAATTATATAAAGTACATACATGTGAGTTAATATGATAACAAATGAAGTGTAAGGACCTTCCGAAAAAAAAAAAAAAAATGAAGTGTAAGAAGACAAGAATTAACATCCTATATATCATGTGTTGTGGACAAGAGAAAGTTGGAGATGAAGCCACATGAAGACGATGTGGTCTCCAGACATAGTGAACAAAGCACCTGAGAGGCGGGAATGGATTCATTGATATACTGACCTGGACAGAGAGCACCCCTTGCTTCTTCTTAGGAACCAGCTTGCCTTCGATGCTTTCATCAGGATTATATAAGTTGAGGTCTCGGAGCTCTATATTGGCGAAAGCTTCATGGAAGACAACCCCATAGTTGTTGCAGAGGAGCTCTGGCTCACCCACCGTGTTCTTCACTACCTCCCCTGCAAACGTATAGTAGGACACGAGAACTTGGGCCAAGGCCTTCTTGAGAACACACACCATGGACGTGAAGGTGAACGGAATATTGTCTTCTCCGGTGGCGGATACGGGTTTCTTGTAGCAAAAGAAAACACCCACGTCCACGGGTGGGAGGAGCAAATCCAGGTTGGAGAGTGGCAGCCGATGCTCTTTCATTGGCAACACTGCTGCCACTACTTCCTTCCTCCTCATCTCCACTGAGAAATCTCCTTTTGCTCCATCCATTTTTTAACTCGATCTCTCTTATTTATGTAATGTGTGTATGTCTCCAGTGTGTGTGTGAGAGAGGGAGAGAAGTATTTGCAATGGGTTTATGGTCGATGAAGAAGAGATGGGATAGTATTTATAAGGCCTTAGAGTGGACAATCATTAGTAAAAATTCCAGGGCCACCTTGATGCAGTCTAAGGTCAACAGCTAAATCGCCAAATTAGGCATTCCAACAGTAATTATCCTAATACAGTTCTAATAATTTTTATTTAAAATTTGTTCTATGTACTTAATTTGCAATAAGTTCAAAGAAAAATAAAAATACTATTAACTTTTTATAACTTTATTGTGATGGAAATCTACAACAAAAGCGCGCAAGTCAATAAATTACAGAGTACAAAATTTTGAACAAGAATTGATATGCAAAAGAATATAAAAATTAGAAGAAACTCAAAATATATGAAATCGTTGAGAGTTAAAAAAGAGGATAATTATAAGATAAAACTAAAAGAAGCTTGAATTGATACAAACAAAAGCACTTGTATTTAATTTGGTAATTAATAAGAAGCATAAATAATTATTTATATATATATATATACATATATATAATCAATTAGTATAAAAAAATTATATTAATTAATAAAAGAATTATTGTATTTATTGTATAAAATAATTAATTTATTAAAAGTCTTAATTGCCTTATGGTTAAATAGTGGGTTGTGGTTGAGAGTAACATGAGGAGGAAACCACCCTCCAATTTATCTTTTAACCCAAATTATAATAGGCAAAAATTCAGAATTGCAATCCCAAGATGATAGAAATTTGTTTTTTTTACCATACTTACCACTTTCATCGTCAAAAGAAAGTATTCACATAATATTAAATAATTAATGTCACACAATCGGGTTGACCGAAAGCTCCTCACTAGTCGACATGTAGCCATTTCACGTCGATTGAGTCCTATATAAATGAAGAAAAAAAAAAAAAAACTATACTTACCACCTTTACCATTAAAAGAAGGTATTCACATAGCTAGTGTTGAATAATTAATGTTACACATAGATATAGTCCAAAAAATTAAAGATATCGGTCGACACCTAAGGACCAGACGTCGACCGAAAGGCTAGTAGCAAACAAGTTAACATTCTTTACTTTTGTAATTGTCACATCAACCAAACGCGGTCTCAAGTCGTGCGAATTAAAGACCCAAGTGACCAAATGTTAGCCAAGTAAAACAAACATCAGGAACTTCATGGCAACTACACATAAGAGATTTGCTCTCATTATTTTGAGATGTGATTTGAATGAAAACCAAACAACAGAAGTAAAATGATTTATGGGCCGAACTTCAACAAGGACAACACGCACAAAGAACTGTTGGTTGTCCGAACCAGAAGTTATTGGAAGATATTTTGAGGTCGATTTGCTAGATTATTTATAAATATCAAAATATAAAAGAGTGAGACCTCAACATTCATAAGTTACAACCAAAGTAAGTGAAGTAATTCACTTTAACACTTCTAATATTCAAATATTTCAAAATTATTACACATTTAGGACCCCATATACCATTTGATCTCAAATGTATTAAGAGAAACCAGTAATTATTAGTACATGATTAGGGACCACATACACCATGTGATCGATCTTAAATGTGTTTAGAGAATGGGTGATTATCCCAATCAAAAATTATAGACCACATATACAATGTAATCTCAAATTTACGTACATGTTCCAAGTGAAAGACACAAAGAAGTGTGTAACTATTTATTTGCGTGTGATTGACTTAACGTCACATAGTTGATAATTTCCCGTTAACAAGAATCGACCCACAGTGTTATCTATAGTGGAATCGAAATGAGAGTGTGTGGGTCACAAAATATAGTTAAAAAGCCTCACTACAGGCCGCCTCGTGTAAATCGTGTGAGATCAATTTTTGGTCTTTCATTACGTCATACGGTATTAAAGCTTTTGACGTCACAAGTGGACCAACTTTTTTCTCTGGCTTGACAATTGCAGACCAACCTTTTTTTTCTACAAAATCTAAGTTATTTTTTATTTTAATTTTTTTTTTAATCTGACACATGTAAAATAAGAAATGATAAAAATATCAACAAATTTAATTAAGGATAAAGTGCATTAAACCTCCTTGAACTATTGAGGTATGTGCAAGAAACCCCCCCGAACTATAAAACTTACAAAAAAACCCATCTGAACTATTGGGGTATGTGCAAAAAACCCCCTGAACTATAAAAGTTGCAAAAAACCCCTAAACTATTGGGGTATGTGCAAGAAACCCCATTGAACTATATATTTTTTTGCAGTTTACCCCATCTGCGCGAATTGATTGACTGAAAGGGACGATGAAGCTGAGCAATTTGTTGCTGGGATCGGTGGGTCTCCTGTTATAGCTCCATCATAGCCGTTGCACCACCCGCCAGATCCGTCGGCCATATATATCGCACTTCTCTGCACCGTTGCGTCAGCCCATCGCCGTCACCGCCTTGCCCGCAGTTCAGCCACCTTGCTCGCCGGTCCATTCCACCATCCATTCCAAGCTCGCCGGCCCATTCCGCCATCTCCATAGCCTAGCATACCGCCGTCCGTGTTTCGAGCACACAGCCATCCACAGTTCCCCGCTGAGCCCCCTTGAGCTCGTTGCTGCCTCCATAGTTCATGGCCGAGTCAACCGAGCTCTCATCACAGCCGAGTCCTCCGCGCACAAGCCGCCATCATCCGAGACCCAGCCATCCCGCCGACCTCGGATTTCTTTGGGCTCTTCTCTCTCTCTCTCTCTAGCTCTCTGTTTTGGGTTATGTTGGGTGAAAAGCATCTTTTGGCAAAAAAAAAAAAAAACGTAAGAAGTGTATAAGTTAAAACGACGCTGTGTGTTATAAGGGTAAACTGGTCTTTCAAAATTTTCGGTGCCAGAAGCTGATGTCATGGGGGTAAATTGCAACAAAATCATAGTTCAGGGGGGTAAATTGCAACAATATCATAGTTCAGGGGTTTTTTTTGTAATTCAGGATGGTTTCTTGTAAATGATCAATAGTTCAAGGGGGTTTAATGTACTTTACCCTTTAATTAATTTTATATGAGTAATAATTGATATTATTATTATTATTATTATTATTATTATTTTATTATGATGTCAGGATATTAATAACCTAAATCACACAATTCTTTTCAACAGGTGTCGCGCTCTCCCGCTTTCATGCTCTGTGTGCGCTTTTACTCAAATTCTCACGGCTTATAACTTAATTCTACATCTCTTAAGTTCATGCTCCCGCTTTCGAATTCGCTCTCATTCTAACTATCGCTTTATTTGACTTAAACAATAACAACCATTTACACAAATACAGTAAATAGGAGTTATTCAATTTTGAGAGTTTAAATTATTATTTCTATATGATTATTGGATAAATTAAAGTTTTGATAAATTACACACTAAAAAGTTTGACCTTTATTTGATCTCCCTTGAAGTTTCTTGTGCGGCGGAGTAAACACATTATTGAAATGCTCTCTCCAAATCTCAGGAGTAATCAATGAAATTAATTCAATTTATTAATGATTAAACCAGATACATTACTCTACAACACTTTTTACTGCTCTGTTGAGGAAGAAAATAATAAACGTGTACATTATATCACTTCAAAAGACAAAAGGTGGCCACGTCACAGAGCAACATATTAACATTATGAAAACCAAGCACATATTTGATCTCTTTTCCATTTGGCAACTGGCATCTACTCAATTGATGGGACAAATTAAGCATCACTTGACCGAATACAATTATATATTCGAATTCGATATAATATAGGTGACGGACAACAAATAATAAAGTTATCTCATGCATGAAACATGACATCGATTGACTTCCAAAGTCATCGCAATATATGGATTAGAGTGTGTGTGTGTACAATTATATATTCGAATTCGATATAAAATAGGTGATGGACAACAAATAATAAAGCTATTTCATGCATGAAACATGACATCGATTGACTTCCAAAGTCATCGCAATATATGGATTAGAGTGTGTGTGTCGATATCATGTTTCATGCATGGGACAGCTTTATTATTTGTTATATATAAGAGAATGATGGAGTTAGATGGATCTTTGATTCTTATGATTTTTTATTGCATATCCGGTGTGTGACAAACAACTACTTAGCTAAATCACACACACACACACTCTTATCCATATATTGCGATGACTTTGGAAGTCAATCGATGTCATGTTTCATGCATGAGATAGCTTTATTATCTGTTGTCCATCACCTATTTTATATCGAATTAATTACACACACACTCTAATTCATATATTGCGATTACTTTGGAAGTCAATCGATGTCATGTTTCATGCATAGCTTTATTATTTGTTATATATAAGAGAATGATGGAGTTAGATGGATCTTTGATTCTTATGATTTTTTATTGCATATCCGGTGTGTGATAAACAACTACTTAGCTAAATGAGTTTTTTCCTTCTTTTTCGTTTTTTATTTCTTTCTTTTTTCTTTTTCTTTTAAATTGACGGAGAAGAGGAAAGAAATGGGGTAGTTTTGTTTATAAAAAAATGATTCTTTTAGTGTTTTATAAAAATAGGAAATAAGAATTTAATATAATTTAAACCACCAGGGGTGTGAAAAGACACTAAGCACTGCCCCAGCAATCCTCAATGGTGTACCATGTTTTTGAAAGAGCCAAAAAAAAAAAAAGGAGTGTGTCTAGGTGATGAACACGGAAGAATAGTATGAAAAAATAAATTGATGTGAAACATGCAAAAAAATGTTTGGCGCAAATGAAGAAAGATTCCATTCCTAGTAAAATGGGCATTGGATTGAATTAGGCTGGAAAGAATTGGGTTGGGTCACCAAGTTTCACATGTGTATATGCATGTGTGTGTGTGTGTGTGTGTGTGTGTGTGTATATATATATATATATATAATAATAATGGAGGCATCAGCCAGTAGTTTTTCTCCATTGTTGGTCCATGCCGGTTGGCCGGTGATAATGACAAAATGACTAAATGAGTGGTCTTCGTCGCAACAACTTTTTTATTATTATTTTTATGTGGTTTGGATATTGTGAGATATGAATAATGTGTTGCATGCCGTAGAAAGAGAGAGAGAGAGAGAGACAATTGGTATGGTATTTATCCAAAGACTAGTCTCAAAGTGTGATTTGTGAACGTATACTACAATACTAGTAGTTTTGAAAGGCATAGCAGAAAGAGTTTTAAAAAAAAAAGCAGCGACAAACCTCTCGTGAAAACAACCGGGGATGTTGGACATTTCCTTCCTCAGGTCCTTTACCTTTTTGTGTGGGCCCTAGATTATGGAATTTATATTTAATGTCTGTTTCAACCTTAATTTCTCAAACTTCCTACAATTAATCAATTTTATTTGGTCCCACAACTATATCATTTTTTGTCATCATTTAGTAATAAACTATTAAACAATACGTACACTTTTTACTCCTCAATCCTCAGTCCTCACTTGTAATATACTAGTATTATTATACTACTAACTAATTATAAGTAGTAGCATAAGTCCACAATACCATATCATTTCTTAAATACTAGTGTATTCATTAGTGCACTTTTAAAATACTACTAGTATTTAATTACCATTATATACTTACCTTACCATGTCCCAAAATTTAATCTTCCCTTATAATTTAGTATTATATTACTCAATCATTATATATAGTTAATTATATTAGAAATTCACACACGAGTACACCCATTTTTGCCTCCTATAGTTTTATGGATATTTGAATTCCCAAACTTTTTTTGAACCATCAGCCTTTTAATTGTAATTACACTAAAGTTGGAGAGTTGTTTATATATTAAAACATAAGGTTAAAAATTATCACTTGGATAAAGTAATCTACTCATATATATTACTGTATATATTGTGTACAAATTCAAGCCGAGCCCAATAAAGCTCGAATAAAGGGTTGAATTAAAAACTCCAAGCCAATTTCATTAAGAGGCCCATAGATCGTTGTTTGCAAGCCCCAATTGTTGATCAGGAGATTTGCTTCTAACACTAAGCCATTTCAAACATAAATATGGGATATGTTCGCCGTTCGGAGCCATCTTTTCCATTACAAACAAAGTTGGCAAATTAGCGTAATCCAACAATAATCAGCCATACTAATAATGAGCTACATTGCTAGCTTCGTACTTCATGTGGAGAGCTTTACAAATTTCACAATCCATATGCCTATAATCCTGGAGATTCGTCAGTTTCCAGTGGATTTGATCATGTATGTCAACACGTACATTAAGCATTTGAATCCTAGTTAGTGATAAACAAGTCGCTCAAGTGACCATGTCGTGTCCTAGACTTTCCGAAAAATATAATACAGTACAAGGAAAAAAAAAAAAAAAAAATGACCGACATACTACTAAATCAGTACAACCTATATAAATTTCATACTCCGGCAGCGTCCTTCCAAAGAAGCCATCCTTTCCCTCACACAAACCTGAGAATAAGTCTTGATTACATTCACAAAAGACCCATCTTACAACAAGTTTGTTGCACACCAAATAAAATTTCTACATAAAACTAGTTTTGCCTATAGCCAAGGCCAAATATTTAATTTTTAGGACCAATGTCCTTGAGGGCACAGATCTGCTCTTCTCCCATTGAAGACTGGACTGTCACAACGAGGTCCTTTCCTTCTGCAAACCCATCCTTAATCTATACAACAACAACAAAAATTTGAAACCAAAATTCAATCCATGCAGGAAACCAAAGACACACGAGATAATCTTAAGCTGTTCAAAACAAAAGCAAATTAAAGGAATGTCCCGTATCTCTACATATACCTGGGTAAGCAAATTGTCATCAGTGGGAAGCCTCAAGTCATCTTTGGTATTTCCATTTTCAGTCAAGAGACTCACCTAAGTTAGATACAAAATCAAGTTGGTTAAGGTCATTAAGATTTGACAAGCGAATTCAACCAGTTAACCACCAAATTCAAATACACAGAGACTTTTGTACGGGTAACATGAGGAATTTTTAACTATCCCCAAAAAATTGCAGACATCCTTTTCAGCATAGATGATCTGGCATACACGCGTTAAAATTTAGCTTTCTCGATATTCCAACATAGGTCGAAATGTAGTATCCAAGAGATATGCCACTCCATACCAGAGAAACTTGCACGAGCATGCATGAATGGGTTGAATTCCCCACATCAAAGTCCCATCTAACTTAAAAATCAAATACCACATGATCTTTTGACTCTTGGCGTTATGAACGGTTAGGGTGTTGGTATACAAAGTACGCTTGTCATTGCTATGAAGCCATATTTCATAGTTAAAAGGTAACAAAATGACTTACAAAACCATCTTCAGAGATATCAATCAGCTGATAGTCAGTACGAGTAACATGGGGAACCTGACCAAACATAAATGAATAATTTGACAAACAAGTCAATCAGCTGGGGAACTGGGGGATGGCATCATAAAAAATAATAATAATTAAAAAAATAGAGTTTAAATAAAAAGAAAAAGAAATAGCATTACATCGCAGTTATGAGATGAAGGAACAATATCTTCAAGTTTCTTTCCGTTAAATATATCAATTCCAACAAAGTGGCACTTTGCATGTCCATGCTTGCCTGTTTTTGAGGTAGAGACCTCCACAACCTATTTGGAGCATAGTCACCACACAAACAGTTAAAGTCTTGAACATAATTGGCTAGAGAAATTAAAAATCAGTAGCAGAATACTTGAAAAACATAGGAAAGGAAACCATATTTTGCTTTGTTATATTTTAGAGAAAAAGAAACACTACAATGACAGAATGACCAACTATTTTGGGTGGTCAATCTGCAATATCAGTAAGGATGTGTATTTCCAGAATCTAGCTAAATCACAGAGAGGTGAGGCTAATAGCAATATACTCTTCCAAGGAGTAATACATTATGTAAGCCTCGCCAGTTCTGCAGCCATAAGACAAAATATTTTCTTGTGCGACATTTTTGCAAATTCTAACACAAGAAATCAAGTCTTAATAAACAATTATAGCTGGAGAAAATTTATTCCATTCGAAATTTAAATCCTCCTATTTTCAACTGCTCTAATTTGAAACACTTAACCTTACCCACAACCTTACTTTATTTATTTATTTAACTTATTATTATTATTATTGATAGGGAAAAATATAAACCTACCCTACCCTCGATAAGATTGATTAGATTTCATTATCAAGGATAATGAAATCAAACCTGACGTGGTTCAACAGATAAGAATAATCCTACTATAACTGGAGGAGGTCAAAAGGATTAAATCATATCCCGACAAATCTGGTAATAAATCTCCTATGATTTCGCACAAGCGGAAGATAAGGTCAACCATCGACATCAGCGGAACGATCGATTTTGATTCCAATCGACAGCCATAAATAGGACATCAAACTATTAAAGAAGGTACGACGAAAAAACTATTATGAATCACTGCCTTCTTTTTAGACCTCCGTGACTAATTTGATCGTCGGAGAGCTCTTGGCAGGCACCACACCGGTGCCGTCAAGGCTCATCGATCTTCTCCTCTCTTCCTTGCAGGAAAACGGTATCGTATCGGACTGCGCGAATTTCAGCCTCAACAGTTGGCGCCGTCTATGGGAACGACGATTCCCTTGAATCAATTAATTACTCGTTGGGTATATACGTTTGCAGTCTGGTATGGTTACCGAAGGAACACCGTCGCAGAGATCTGGTTAAAGGGTAGAGTTGGGTGAAAACCTGGACGTCCCAAACGACCAGGCACGGCTTGCAGCGTTAGAACTACAGGTTCAAACTTTGAGTCAGGGTATGAACCAGTTGATCCAGCAAAATGCAACGCTCTTGCAACACCTTGTTCCACCGGCTCAACAAAACTTTCCAAGACAAGATCCCTCAAGTCCAAACGGAGGTAATGAAAATCTTAAAGAGAGGGATAATCATTCCCCCCAAAATGAGACTGAAGTGGAACAAAGCCAGGTGGGAACCCGACATAGAGAGGTGGTTCACCCATCTCTCCTACGGAGTTCCCGACCTCCGGAAAGCATAGCCTTCTGTCTTAAGGAAAAGACAAAGAAAGTTACCCATCTCGACTTGCAGATCAAGGATCTCAAGGGAAAAATGGAAGATGTAATCCAGGCTATGAAAGAGAAAGGTCCTGCCGCCGTAGATGACCTGGTACAAAGGACCAACTTGCCTTTCAGTCCCGCCGTTATGAAATGTCCACTACCTAGCAAGTTTAGGATGCCCTCGTTCGAAAGCTTCGATGGGACCAAAGATCCCCTCGATCACCTGGAAACTTTTCAAGCTCTTATGCATTTACACGTTGTGCCAGATGAAATCATGTGCCGAGCTTTTCCCACTACACTTAAGGGATCAGCGAGAGTTTGGTTTAACAAGTTGAAGCCAGGAACCATCAACACCTTCGAAGAATTGAGTAAGCAGTTTGTGAGCCACTTCATTGTAGGTCAGAGGCATAGGAGGCCGGCTACCTACTTGTTTACCGTGGAGCAACAAAAGGAAGAGTCGATTTGGGAATACATCACCCGATTCAACGCAGAGATGTTGCAGGTAGAAGAGGCGGACGACAAGGTAGCTTTGACCGCTTTCATAGGAGGACTCCAAACCTCCAGATTCTTGTTCTCCTTATCAAAAGAACCTCCCACCAGCATGATAGAGTTGCTGGTCAGAGCGCAAAAACACATCAACGCTGAAGACACCATGAGTGCACGGAAGGAAGGAGAGGACAAGAAAAGGCCAGCCCCTCTCGCCAAGGATGAAAATAATACCAAATATAAGAAATCCTTCTTCAGCCAGAGCGACAGCACATATCATGAGAATGACTCAGATGAATATACCGACTAGAAATTGTCTCGCGGCTGGAATTAGCCTTATCAAGTCATTCACAATAAAGACTGGGGCATCTTAGTTAATCATTCTAAATGAAGGGTAGCTCCATCACGTGTTATTTTGTTTTTAATAATGATGGTCTTTAATAAAATTCCTTTTAGTTTATACGTGCAGTATCCCCGTACTATAAGGGATAGTAAATGAGTGTCCTGTATTACAAGGACCCGGGCTGAATGAATCCCGTAATCCGTATCCCCGTACTATAAGGGAATAGTAAATGAGTGTCCTATATTACAATATTACAAGGACTCGGGCTGAATGAATCCCGTCATCCATATACCCGGACTACAGGGGATAAGTATCCTGTATTACAAGGACCCGGGCTGAATGAATCCCGTCATCCATATCCCCGGACTATAGGGGATAAGTATCCTGTATTATCAGGACCCGGGTTGAATGAATCCCGTAATCCATATCCCTGTAATATAAGGGATAATAAATGAATGTCCTGTACTACAAGGACCTGGGTTGGATGAATCCCATAATTAATATCCCTTTACAATAAGGGATAGTAAATAAAAATCCTTTATTAAAGAGGTGAGCTGAGTAAAACTTGTAAAGCTCAATTCCCTTATTAAGAAGTGAAATTCATATAATTTATTCCCTTATAAAAGGAAGAGTACTGTTCCCTCGGGTGCCAAAAAAAAAAATTATTATTACTATTCATGAACAATATCCGCGGGGGTACTGTTCATGCACAGTACCCAAGGGTACTGTTCCCTCGGGTGCAAAAAAAAAAAAAAAATTCCCTGAGTTACTATTTACGTGAATAGTACCCTCGGGAATAGTACCCGTACTATTCACCGGGGTTGAAAAAAAAAAAAAAAAAAAGTATTATTATTATTATTACATTCTCAAAGCTAGACGTACAAGCTTGGGAATGGGGGGCAACTGATAGGGAAAAATATAAACCTACCCTACCCTCGATAAGATTGATTAGATTTCATTATCAAGGATAATGAAATCAAATCTGACGAGGTTCAATAGGTAAGAATAATCCTACTATAACTGGAGGAGGTCAAAAGGATTAAATCATATCCCGACAAATCTGGTAATAAATCTCCTATGATTTCGCACAAGCGGAAGATAAGGTCAACCATCGACATCAGCGGAATGATCAATTTTGATTCCAATCGACAGCCATAAATAGGGCATCAAACTATTAAAGAAGGTATGACGAAAAAACTATTATGAATCCCTGCCTTCTTTTAGACCTCCGTGACTAATTTGATCGTCAGAGAGCTCTTGGCAGGCACCACACCGGTGCCGTCAAGGTTCATCGATCTTCTCCTCTCTTCCTTGTAGGAAAACGGTATCGTATCGGACTGCGCGAATTTCAGCCTCAACAATTATTATCATAATTTTTCCTGGTAGGTAAGACGGTCTCCCATGAGTGAGGAGGAGAATATACTAATTGGGCTAGGCCCTTGCAGGTTAGGTCTACAATATCGTCTAACTCATATCCACAACTTCTCTTCAACTATCACTACAGTGAAGAATTGTTAGATTACAAAATAAAAACAAAATGACAAGAAATTACATAGTTAAATACTCCCCGGTCCCACAAAAAATGCCCCTTTTTGGTCCAAAATACCCTCAGAACTCTCTCTCTCTCTCGCCACCCCAACCACCCACCACCCACAACCCACCGCCACCATGTTATTAATCGCTGCCGCCCTCCACCCGCTGGCAAATTGTTCTGGCAACCTCTACCTCCACCCCATCCACTATCTCTCTACATAATATACACATATTTAGCAAATATATATGTATGTATATACACACAAATACACACACACACATATATATATAGAGTCCTGATCTTATTCCCTATGGAGTAAGAAAATTAATCCACACTTTCTATATAGACCGTTAGATGAAATCTAACGGTCATTTTTCAAACCCACCTATGGTATTTCTTTTTAACACAAAACCACTCTCACCCTATTAGTTTGTATATTTAATTTTACCATTATCACTTATTATAACAATAAAAGGTAATTATCAAACTAAAAATAGAAACCTTTGGAAAAAAAATAATACTAGTATATTTTACTAAAAATTGTTTTTATTTAGATATTTCTTTGAAAGAAAAATAATACCTGTATCTTTCAATTTTGCAATAACAGTATGATATTATAGCATTTTCCTAAAAAACATCTTGTTGTTCTCAGTATAAGTAAATTAATATACTTCCCTAGTATAAGTAAATCTATCAAAAAATATACTGTAATATTGCATTTTGGAATATCGAATTGATTAATTGAAATTGAAATTGAAGAAAATTTCATTTAAAGTTTGAACAAAATTTCTTTCTATTTCAATTAAAGTTGGGCATTTGGTGAAATTCATTATTGAATCTGTGAATTTGTGAGTTTCATTATTGGATGATGATGATGTACTGACTATGGTAAGACTATAGAATCCACCTCAAAAACAACAAGGTAACCCAAAAAAAAATGGGTGAACCTCTTCTCACAACCTTATTCATGGAGAGTAATCATTTGTCCACACTTTTGTCCATGGATTCAAATTCAACGCACGAAAAAATGGAAAGAGAGTTGATAATTATTTTTTATTGTTACGTAAGTGGTTATGGTAAAATTAAATATAGAAACTAAAAATAGGGTGAGAGTGGTTTTGTGTTAAAAGGAAAGGCCAAAGGTGGATTTGAAAAATGACCGTTAAATTTAATCTAACGGTCTATATAAAAAGTGTGGATTAATTTTCTTACTCCATGAGAAGCAAGAGATCAGGACTATATATATATATATATATATAGATATATATATATATTATGCAACAACATAGAAGGTGGACACCGTATCAAGGCTAGGTTGGTCTTCAATGCAAAGAACAATGACTTTTTTCTTACTAAATCATTAACATATCTCCAAATTCACAACCAAACATTGAAAAATTAGTACTTTGACACTTTCTTTTCGGATATTTATCATCAATGGAGAATTAGACCGTCCTTCTTAGCTTTTGTGATGTACATAAATGGGTTTGCCGGAGTTCGATAGTTTCGGGTGGTGGGGTTGGAAGTGGCGATGGTTGGATCTGTGGTGTTGATGGTCGTGGAGCAGGAGGTGGATCAGATCCTAGGTGTCGGTCGTCGAATCAGAGAAAGATGATTGAGTCAGGGAAGTTTTCAAAAACTGGGTTCTTTGTTTTACGGGTATCGAACCGTGAAGCTTATTTCCAAACAGATAGAGAAGGGTCAAGTTCTTCAGATTGGCAAATGATGCCGGTATTTCACCGGAAAAAACATTGATTCTCTGGTGGCAGTGGCGGTGGTGCCGCTGCCGGCGATGGTTGTCTGTGTATATATATAGGTGTGTATGATAGAGAGAGATGAAGATGAGAATTAGAGAGGGAAATGTGTAAATGGAGAGAGAAAGTGGTAATGGTAATCCTTAAAAGGTCAGGGTAATTTTATCCTAATTGTATAGATAATTGTCAAATATGAATTGTTGTGTATAAGTTGTCGTATTTGTAGTTACATTGTGTTCAATGGCTTTACACACCCATTCTTTTTAAATACGCCAATACCGTCAATGGACAGGACCAGTAGGTAGAAAATATATATATATATTCATCATAATCAAATGAGCAAAAAAGATTCAATAACAAGGGACATCAATTCTTACAAAAATCACCACTCATATAACGTTTTTATGTATAAATTGCAATAAGAATCAAAAAAACCATCAGAGATCTGGAAAATTAAGTACAAACCCATATTAATTGTTTATAACCAAACACACTACTAATAAACAATCAAATTTGAAGAAATAAGACGAACTTGGTAAATTGAAAAACAAAGAGAGAGATATATAGAGAGAGAGAGTGACCTTGCAAGGTCTGTTCTTGATGACGATGTATCCGTTCTTGCGAATTGTTCCAGCCTGCTGTGGATAAGTCTTGGAAGCCCCAGCGTCGGCCTTGGACTCGAAGTGATGCTCCTCGTCGGACATCTCTCTCTAGAGCTTTCTCTGTGTAAGAGGTTTGAGGAAGGTAGGGTAAAAAACTGTTTCAGTCGATCACAAACACTTATACTGGTTAGGGTTTTTACTGCGACAGGAGATGAATTTGGGGCCGTCAGATCAATGATTCAAACTCAGGCAGTGTGGTCCATTACATGATTGTCGTCTATTTTGATGAAAGGTATATATCATATGATCATCTTTATTCCTCCCACCATTCAACATTTGTCATTTTTAGTGCATGTTGTTGTAGTCTGTGATAAATCTAGAGAGTTAAAGAACCAGTTGGATAGTGTAACCCAATAAATAAATACGAAGAAGACCGCCACTTGTTTTTCGAAAATATTGAAAAAGTGCCATTAATAGAGTAAGAGAGGGATTGAGCCTAAATTTTGAAATCTCATATTTTTGGCTTTCATTTTAATATTTATTATGGAAACCATTTAAATCTATATATTTGAGTGATGAATATTTATTCGGTAGTGTTTTTTGATTGAAATATGTTGATTTGCATAACAAAGATCTTGACTAACCCAATTTCAATAATGGTCCATTTTTATTTCTTGACTAATCCAATTTCAATAATAGTCCATTTTTATTTATTTATTTTTAATATTATACTTATCTTATGTTGCTCACTTTATATATTAAATGGAATTTAGTTCAAATTGATAGAAGTGGTAAAACGGGGAACCTTTTCTAGTCAGTAATTAAAATAAAAAATAAACATGTTGAATATATTTAGGAGAATTATATAAATTTTTCCCACGTTATCTCCTTGAACTATAGATATAACAAATCACAACTTCAATTATCAAAAAATAATGCAAGATTTGAATAGTAACTTGCGAAATTTATATATTTACATGAATATTTTGCAATTAATATCTTATTTTTTGAAATAAAAGGATCTTGCACTAAGAGGGAATGCCCCCCATACTCCACAGCAGGCTCGGGCTTGCAGAGGCCCACTAGAGACCAAAGTAAGGCCCAAGGGCCAAGGCAAATGTTGTCTCTCCAGCCTTAATATAGGGTCACCATCGTAAGATAATTTGCTGTCATGAGGCTTGCATCACCAAAATTTAGCAAAGCAATCTTAAGATTTTTAGACCTAGTTCTTCTCTTTTTCTATATGCCCCTCCCCAAACACACACGCAAACACACACACACACACACCCAACAAAACACCAGAGAGAGAGAGAGAGAGGTTCTTTAAAAATCACCCTGATACCCATAAGAAGCCAAGAAGGAGCTTATAATTAACACACTCGTCAGATGTTAAAAGGCAAAAAAAAAGTTCCAATTATGGATAAAAATTCTTTCTGATAAGCCTCTAGTAATCTTTATTATTATTGTTGTTTGTGAAGTAATTTAGCTTTGGCAATGAGCACAAGCATTTAACAAATAAATGGAAGTCTTGAACAAAATGATTGTGGCCCATATATAATATTATAGTGGGTGTGATCATTGCTTATACAATACAAATAACGATTTGAAATTCTAGACAAATCATATAGTCAAAGGAAATTCTTTTCTTTCTTTTTTTAATTAATTTATTTTCACATTAGGGCAATAGAGTATTGGCTGAAACTGTCACCACATGGAAAGAAATGAGAGGTCGTGAACTGTGTTGGTGGCCAAATTGACTGGGACTACAGAAAAATATTAACAATGCAGCCCTTTTTTGTGTTTTGAAATTGAATAGGAAATGTCATCAATCCACATATAAATATAGACTAATAAATACTATATTATACACCCACACACACACACACACACACACACACACACATATATGTAATATAGGAATGTGATTCTTTTCTTTGCAATGATGTTGAGGCTCTGAAGTCAAAACATCTAACATGGTAGACAACCAAACCGATAAATGTATTGAAAACTATTATGAACATGACCTTACCAGCTAATACAAGTCTGAATTATGTTTTCCTAGAATCTAGTGTGGTAGGAACCTCTCATGATCATAGACTCAACCCCATTTGAATATAGTCGTGAACAGGTTCTAAACACCGTTTTTAATTTTAGCTAGGTCAACATACACATACTTAGAATCTAGTGTAGCCGGAACCACCCTTTTTATATACTAGTACTTAGAATATATCATCATATCAAGTTCTTATTTCAAAGAGCTTATAAAATGTTATATGCATAGATATAGAGTATGGTGAGACACACACACAAATATACAATGTCAGCAAATCTGATGTAGAGGTTTGAATTTTCGCACAGAGGGAAATTAAGGTGGAAACATTTTCCAAAAATTTGAGTTCCAGCATGTACCTGCAAAGTTGTTCATCCTCAGACTCTCAGTAATTGCTATAGAGAGAGAGAGAGAGTACTAGTTTTTCAACATAACAAGTGCACTTCATGGATGGACTAATCAATGGACCAGCTGTGGTCCATTTTAATCACTACGGATTCCGACTCCTCAGAATTGTCATATATGGTGACCACAACTACCCTTAGCTTCCACCAAAAAATCTACTTACTAAATTCTCTCTTCAAATTAATGCATGAACAAAACATACAACAAAGTGTGCCCATCATTTAGATCCACCAACCACAAACAAACATCTCTCTCTTAGAGAGATCCAACACCATTAACAATTTATACAAGCTTTTTTCAGTGGTCCTGGTTCACATGTCTGCATAAAGAAGATGCACAAGTTTTCCTTCCAAAAGTACAAGCACCTCATACAGAAAAAAAAAAAAACACACACTTCACTATCTCACTGGCAGTAGAAGTTCAATCTAATTTGAGGGTGCTTCTATTTATATCAAAGATGGGAAATGAAAGCAAGAGAAGAAATGAAAATTTGTACAACGAACACAAACTTAAAAGATTAAACCCCATGTATACAAATTAAGCTTTTGGCCTACCACCAAGGGTAAGAAAGTAGAATGCCACATCCAGAACAGAATCTCACAACTACTGTACATTCCTCCCATGGCAGTAACACAAAAAGAACTCGTAACATAGAAAGAGAACAGATAACAGAAAATGCAAAGAACCTAATCTGGGAAATTCTCTTTTCTTTCACTTTGCTATTCTTCTCTTCACTGATGCGTAACCGGTTCAATATCCTTGAGAAGTCCAACTACCTGCTGCATACTTGGTCGTTTTGAGGGAAGGTCAGCTGTGCATAGGTATCCTATCTTCAAAGCCTCCACCAGTTGGGTCTCTGGTCCTGTTTCACGAATTTTCGGATCAATAGCTATTGATCCCTGGTTCTTCTTTACTAATCCCCTCACCCAACTCACCAAATTTCCTTCTTTTTCCTCCGGATAATCATCTTCAACAGGCTTCTTTCCAGTAATTAGCTCAAAAAGAACAACCCCAAACCCGTAAACATCAGATTTTGGTGTTGGGGTTTTGGGGGAGCCAGTTTCTGGCTGAAGAAACTCTGGGGGCACATAACCGGGTGACCCACGAGCTATCCCATCTTCTAGACCATTCCCAAAAATCTTACAAAGTCCGAAATCAGACAATCTTGGTTCCAGATTCAAATCAAGGTAAACACTACTAGCTTTGACATCTCGGTGAATTATTGGAGGTGAGCATCCGTGGTGGAGATATGCCAGTGCTCGGGCAGTGCCAACTGCAATCTTGTGTCTGAATCTCCAAGTTGTTAACAACCCTTCGGGACCAACATTTTGGATTCCATTATTGTCATCTTCTTCCCACGTGTCTGTGCTCCAATCTTCTGTGGTTTGAAGAACCCCAAGCGGCAAATCATGAAGCAAATTCTGCAAGTTCCCATTCTCCATGTAGTCATAAATGGCAATACGTTGGTCACCAGCTAAGCAGTATCCGGTCAATGGAACGAGGTTAGGGTGTTTGATACGGCCAAGATACTCAAGCTCTCTTGCAGCTTCTTGGTCTGTCATGGTGGACCCATGGACCAAAACTTTAACGGCTACATGAATCCCTCCTGGTAAAAATCCCCTATAAACAGGCCCAAATCTTCCTTCGGCCAACAATGTGCCCCGGTCAAAATTTGAAGTTGCAGCTAAGAGATCTGCAAATGTGAAATTCAGCAATGGCTTTTCGAAGATGACTACTGGAACTGACGTTGCGTGCTTAACATCAGCTACCCAAGTAGTAGAATCTGTCTGGAACGAGAAGGGCCCGGAAATATTTAGCTCTTCTTTGTAAGAAGTTTGTTTCACTGCCCACATTCTGGTTTTCCTTCGGCAACCAAAGGCTAAAAATAGCAACCCCACAAGCAAACACACCAAAGAGAGGCTTAATGCCAAAGCAAGCTTCAGCCCCCTGCTGTGTTTACGAGTGTTCCTTCTAAAGAGATCTGGATTTGCAGCAATTGGGCAACTATTTAACGACCCAATGAAAGCAGTTTGAAGGGTTTCAGGCGAGAACTCTGAAGCACAAAGGCTTAAGTTATTGAAAGAGAAGTTGAACCTCTCCATCCATGGAAGTTTTTCCAACAGAGATAACGGAATATTTCCACTTAAATTGTTGGAGGAAACATCAAGAATTTGGAGGTTTCTGATACTCAATAGAGGAATGTGGCTGTTGAGATGGTTTTTGGAAAGATCAAGTGTTTTCAAACTGGTCAATTCTAAGATTTCAGAGGGAATGAGACCAACGAGATTTGTTTCAGACAAGTTCAGATATTCTAAACCAGAGTGCATATTGATTTTGGGGAATTCTTGCTTAGAGAAATGATTGTGTGCGAGATTAAGGTGTTTCAGACTCTGGGATTCATTGAAGTTGTAAAAAATATCTCCACTGAGATGATTCTCAGATAAGTCTAGATAAACCAAATGAGACCAATTGAAACTAGAATCGATTTGTACCTGCGAAATGTGACCTCGAAACTGGTTCTGGCTCAAGTCAATGACCTCTAATGGCTCGTGAAAAACACCAATGACAGAACCCTGAAACAGATTCCTTGAAACATTCAGATAAGTCATCGATTTCAGCCCCGAAAAATCTGAAGCTCGCCCACGAATCTCATTGCCAGCAAGGTTCAAGGATTTAAGCTTAGGAAATGCAGTAGCAAAACCATGAGGAAGAGTACCAGTGAGTTGATTTGATGAAAGATCAATTGAAACCAAAGAATGACAGTTCAGAAACCCAGATGGTATGCTCCATTGGAAACCATTTTGATCAAGTTTAAGAACTTGCAAACTGACAAGGGAGCTCGTAGTTTCAGGGATATTCCCAGAGAAATTGTTGGACGAAAGGTCCAATGTTTCAAGTAGACCAAAATTGCCTATGTTGCTTTGGAGGTTCTCAGAAATATGGTTACATGAGAGATTAAGGAATTTGAGTGAACCCAAACTCCAAAAATCTGAAGGCAAGCCAGTGATTTTGTTATTGCTTAGATCTAAAGATTGAATCTTTGTGAGTTTGCCAATGGTGGTGTCAGGAATCAATCCAGACAGACCCAAACCAGAGGCTACCAACCCAATAACATTTTCTTGTTTGGCATCACAAAACACTCCTTGCCATGAACAAAAAGGGGCAGAAAAGTTGTAAACTTGAGAGGAGTTAAAACCCATCTTTAGCAAGAAATCAGAGACAAAGTAACCATCTGAATTGGGTTTTTGACAAAGTGAAGTCGTAAAGAAAAGTGCTAAAACAAGTATAAAACCGAAAAAGCCCAAACTCATTTTTGGATAAGGGTTTTAAAACTCAGGAACGAGAGAGAGAGACCGTACCAAAACCCTCCAAGGACCTCAAAACCCACCCTCTTTCAGAGCCTCAAAACCATCATTCTGAGACACCGCTTTATGGGCTTCTTCAACACTCCTAACCACCACCAACATTTTGGGTTAGAAGAACAGATAAATATTGGGTTAAAAATCAAAACTGCCAACAACCAACTATATATTTCCGGCTAGTTTGGGGGTGTTCTTGTGGAGAAACCAAACACACTGTAAAATGTCTTCTCAGTTGAAAACTACTGTTCAAGAACAACCAGTTTTTTTTTTAGTGGTTTGAAGAGAAGGAATGTGAGCTTACCTTGTCTGGCCTTGCAGGTCCAAGAAAGCCAACAAAGAAAACAACCCAATTGCAGAGTTTTTGTCGGTTTTCTCAAGAACACGAGAAGCTTAATTTATGTAATTTGTAATTGAAAAAAGGGAGGGTTGCGGAGAGAGAAAGAGAAGGGTATATTGGGAATAGAGAATTGAGAGGGTGGAGAGGTGTGAAGTTGGGCTTCATAAATGAGAAGGATTGAAGGAAATGTTATCTGGGTTGGTGAATTTATCAGAAAGCTGTTGATGGAATTCAATGATTCTGCGTTGTGTGCGTTGACTAATACTATGAATGAAAGATGTTTTTTGGTTTCTGATTCTCTCCTTATTACTAAAGAGAAATCAATTAAGTTCAACAGTACAATCACACTCTATTTGAGTGTGAATAAAAATTGATAATGACTGATTGCAAACCTTTTCTTATTTAAAATAGTAATAACAATAATAAGGACAATGATATATTTTACTACTATCTCTGTCCATATTAAAAGTCGATCCGGCAATATGAGACCGATTTTGTGAATCACGGTTATTGAGATAGACTTTTAATATGAAACGATGGAGTATATCAGATGTAAAAGTATGATTGTCAATTAATTCTGTTTTGTCTAATTATACTTTTAATTAGCATATATTATATAAACTTTTTTTATCTTATTTTTCCTTTTAAAATTATTTGTTTAGTTTGTAACTATAAAAATAGTTTTTTGTTTTTGAAGAACTGAAGACAGAAAATTATACAAAAAAATTCTAATTGATTCAGTTTTTTAAAAATTGTTTTTTGAAAACTCAGTTATAAAAATACTTATTTTTAAATAACAGTTTTTTATAGTTCTCTCAAACCTGTTTTCTATTTTCTGAATTTCTAAAGTTTTGGTTCCCCTCTTTTGCATGTTTTTTGAAATTTCAAAAATTATAGCATTTATATATTGGGATGGGTGGAAATTTTATATTATCTAGATTTTAATGGAAAAAAAAAAAACAAAAAAATATTCTTTGACAAGATTTTAAGGGATTATGTTGCAATTTGCAAGCATGAAGGCTGAAAGTAGTGAATTACACTTCAATGGTGATGCTCCTATTAACCGTTACAGAATAGGTTAAAAAAAAAAAATTATGTTTTTATATCTATAGGTAAGAATTTACACCAATAAATAGGCGAACAGTTGTACTAGTCTATGTATTTTAAAATTTTGATTGGACTAATATAAAGTAGGAAAAATTATATTGCAGTGACTAAAATTAAAAATAATAGCTATAAAGTGACCTTAAAATTAAACATAATAAGTAGTGTCTTTATTTTAATAACTATTTGATTTCTTCACTTTATTAATAACTATAAAGTGACCTTTAAAAAAAAAAAAAAAAAAAGACAAATAGTCATCAATCCTCCATTCCCTAATCAGAAGCATTTCTTATTTTTTATTTTTATTTCCTAAAAAGGTAAAACAAAAGCAAAATATATATTTAATAATGTGTCTTTATTTTTTCATATTGCAAATGTTTATCAAATTTACGAAGAAAAGAGAAAATATAAAAGTCGTTTCCTTTGTTTTCTCATTGTAGTGGCCAAAACGTTTTCATCACTGCAGGAGGTCACTTTTTGGAAATGACTTGTTTGCTTCTTTTTTTTAAGAGGGCAAAGGTAAATGTATAAATAAAAAATATGTACATACTGAATTTTTTTGAAAAGATATAAATCCAATAAAACTTTTTTCGAGAAAATAAAAATCCAATAGAATTTTTTTCGTCTCCTCTTGACTGAATTGAACTAATAAACAGTTGAAATTAACAATAAAATCAAAGAATTCAAAAAAATTGATAAAAAAACAAAGTAATGTGCCAACCATATCAATGTATAGTAAATCAATTTTAATTCCCAATAAATAAAGGTATCAACCAATATTTTAATTCTCATTGATAACAAAATTTTATCAAAAGTTAAATGGGTCGTGAAAAGTTTTCTAAAATCGAAATATTAGTTTACACTAAGTTTTTGTTTGGTAATATCAATTTAGTAAACTTTAAGTAGGGAGAAAAGTAGTTTAGGAAACTCTAAATAGGTAGAAAAATGGTTTTGATGGATTAGGAAGGTAGAAAGGTAGATTTGTAATATAGTTACTCAAAATCACTTGCATTTTATTTGATGGATATGAAAATGAGAATGTTATAGACTTGAAGAAGAAGGAGTTGGCTATTCAATCACAAATTATGACTTTAAATTGGATATATTTTACATCCATGTAAATGGTATTGTTAGAATTTGTGATTTTAAATTTGATGTTGTATTTTTTTCTCTAAATGAATTTAATGCATCTACTTCAAATGATGCCGATTAAGTAAACCATGTACTCGTAAGATTTGAAGGTAAGTTTTTAATACATAAATCCAAAATATAATAGGAACAAAAAATGTTAAACAAATGTGTTACTAAACAGTGTTTGTTGTTTTTGTTTTCAAAATTATGAGAACAAAATAATTTTAATAAACACCATTTCCTGGAAATAAAAATATAAAATGTTTCTATAAAATACTAGAAAGATAACTAGAAATGTCGATCTGTCCCTCTAAAACCTTTTACCACCACCAATCAAAATATAATTTTTTTTTAGAGCGGTGTCATTTGCATTACATTGTAAGGAAACAATTTTCATACTACAAAACAACTGAATTGTATTATTATTGTGGGTTAAACTTCTTATTAGGCTTTTTGTGCACTAATATTGGTTAAGAATCAATTTTTTTTGAGTATTTTTGGGGAGGAGTTGAGTTTGAATGAGAGCAGTGTACATGTAAAAAACAAAATCCCAGTCTGGGTAAAGTAATTTTGTCTTTTTATGTCCATGTGAAGCGTGAACCATACTATTCTGTTGATATATGTTGGAAACAGTAAAGAGTAAAGAGTAAAATGTTAAAAACCATAAAATATGCTAGTATTTGTTTGTTCAACATTGAAAAGTGTAGTGTACTTTCAAAATAACTCTTACATCAAAGTGGCATTCTATCAACAATTACTGTTCCAAAGTTATATATGTATACACACACACACACATAAATTTATTCTGTTTCATTTATGTAAGTGGGTTGCAGTACTTTGGTGACTTTTTAGCCAACCCATTCTCTCTTGACTGTGACTGTCAAATGTGAATTAAGTGCATTACTTGATTAGTTTCTTACATTTCCAATATTCAATTAAAAGTCTAAGGTGGGACCGTTCATTTGATTGGCATATTTTTTTTTTTTTGAAAAATTTGATTGGCATATTGCTAAATATATCCTAGTGTTATAATTTTTGATTATATCATCCAATACACAATTATTTTTTAAATTTGATATGTAATTTGTATTGAACAATTTATATTTATTTTGTTCGAATTTTTAATTGCGACGTGACTATAACTGTAACTACGACTGGATCCCACATAGCAACCCAATTCAATTTCATATCATAATCATGGGTTGAATTAAAGCTTTTAGCTCATTGTCATTGAGTTGTTTGGGTCCCACAACCCTTATTCCTTTTCCTTTCCATTTTCTTTTTCCTTTTCCTTTTCCTTTCTCCCTAATCTCTCCTCTCTAGGAGTGTTTGTGGATGCATAAAGCATGGCATAGTTATGATTATTTAAGTCAACGATTAGCCTTCAACCTTGATCAATAAAATAAAATCACTGATTATTGGGAACTAAAACATTTTATATCAAGGCACATAATGACTTTAAAATGTCAAGATTACCCTTTCATAGTAGCAGAAAAAGTTGGTCCATAAGGGGGTAACATGGTCTTTATAATAGTAAAGTTGTAGCTCTGGTAAACATGGCGATCAGCAACAAAGAATTTGTACTACTACTACTACCACTACGTTTTTGTGAAGTGTGAGAGAGAGAGATATACCACCCGCATATGTGTGTGTGTGTGAGAGAGAGAGAGAGAGATAGACGTGTGTGTGTGTGTGTGTGTGAGAGAGAGAGAGAGAGAGCGTGCCAAGCCGACAGCAAAAGAAGTGAGAAAGAAGCCTTACCTTGATGATTTGCATTGATGAAGGGTTGGGTGGGTTTGAGGATGAGTAAGAAGAAATCAACCGACATCATTAATTATTAGCATCCCACAATACACACACTCTATTACTAGTGTTGAATCATCTCTTGCTCGTCTCTTCATCACACCAAACTTATTCCTCAAACTATATATGTTTTATATATCCATGCAAACTTTCATAATAAACTAAGAGCAATGACCTCATAATCCTAATTACACCATTAGATTCCTCAAATATACACACAAAAACACCAACTTCACAGTCTATTATAGCTACGTATCATGTGATTGTGAAGCAATTAATTTTTTTAAAAAATGGGCCTCCATTTTTTGGAAAACATTTTTATGTTATGAAAAATTAAGTATAAAATTATTACTTCTCAAAACATAATTAAATAATTATGGGTCTCATTCTCACTATAATGGATTGGGTCGCTTTCAAAAGTTTAAGAGTCTCTTTGATTTGTAATTCTGATAACAGTTTTCTGAAAACATGATATTGTACAAAAAATTATGCTTAATTTAATTTTTTTTAACTACTTAAGAACACTCTATTTAGGTTATCAATTCAATTCAAGACTTACTATAAATGAGACTTGTACTTAATTAAATTATGTGTATAATTTGCAAGTAATTGTATGCAAACCATAGTGTCAAAACTCAAAAGTGACGTGTGATTATTGATTCTTTCTTTCTTTCTTTCTTTCTTTCTTTTCTTTTTTTTTAAAAAAATAAATAAATAAATAAGAAGAAGAAGAAAGAAACCAACATAACAATTATTTTTGATGTATTGGATTAATATAGAGAGTAATTACCAAAATAGGAATACATAGAAGATGGGATCTATAATGACAATTAGATTTGACATTGAGATGTTGTTATTATGCCTCCACGCTGATGGAGATATGGCACTGATTAAGCAATACATATATAGTATATGGCAAGTTATTAGTGTCTATTAAAAAGAAATGACACCCAATTCTTGTGTGGATTTTCTTAACAATCTATGTCGTGAACTCAAAGCCATCCATTGTTCGAATTCTGTGGGCCACATCCTATATATATATATAGATATATACATGTCAATATATATTCGGTCCGAATGAACCCCCATGTGGTTTAAGATTTAAGGCATAATTAATGTGACCTAAAAAGTAATGATTCTAATGAGAATAAAAACGGAACAGATTGATGGACTGATTAGGTGTCCCAATAATCGCAGCTGCCGATTGCTAATCCTAAAATTAAATTCAGTGCATGTTGATGACCATCATTAATAATTTAATATACATACATATCATGTTTGACCTATAACGTCTTCATTTCTTCGCCCATTAATGCTAAACATCTCTTTTAAAAAAAACATTTTAAGATACTCTTCACGAAATTCTAATCTAAATGCATTTGACCTAACACATTACATTAGTGTTTTAAATTGAAAGAATACTTTATTATTATAATTCTGCAAGTTGGGTATTGCTAATTTGCTACCAGGAAATGATTTTACTTTATAAAATGAAATCATTTTATTAAAGTTTGAAATTTTTTTTGGTTCAATATTTATATTAAAATTAAAATGCGTAAATCAAATGGTCAAATAATTTAAAATTATTTGAAATAATTGTGATAAGATAAACGAATTTTGTTTTACAATTTACCAAAAAGTTAATAATAAATTCAAAAATATTTGAGCAAATTTAAATTGATTCGAGTTGAGAAGGAAAAATAGTAATTTTAATTTTAAAATGTTCATCGGAGGTGACTTGAATTTCTGAAATTGACTTGAATCAACTAAATAAAGAATAGTATCTGTAAGTCAGTTTTTACTAATTTACTGCACAATGCCACACGACAAAATTGGGTTCGACTTCAAAATGACATGAGTTTCAACTACTCTTGGCTTGTCCAAACATGTCTAAAAATTTTAAAAATCTATATATATATATATTCAAATACGTATTCTACTTGATAGTCAATTAATGTTGATTCCGACTTTGAATTAGTGCCAAAAAATAATTAGCATACGCCATCAGCATTCTTAGTGCCTAAAATTAAATATGTTAATCTCTTAAACCTTTGACATTAACGAGGTTAGATTCCATATTTAAATTGATTCGAGCACTGTGCTTTGTGCCTTTTTCTGATCGGAAACCATTTATTATTATAACTATTATAAACAAAGCTTCTGCAACAAAATATTCAGTCTACCATCCAAAATATATATTCAATCTCCAATCATATAATATTCTACTTGGTATTACTACGTATAACATGTATGCAGTTTGCGCATGCATTTTTTTATTTCCTCAAAAAGAAAATCATATAAATTAAATACAAAACTAGTGTAATATGTGGGGGTTTGTCTATTTATCCAAGAGGATTAAGTTGTTGAGTAGTGATATATATCCACTCATTTATACCCCTTTCACTTCTCATTCGGATCCGATTCGAGACAAATACTCCTTAGCTTTTAGTATTATTAGAACAAAAATGACATATATATATATATATATATATATATATATATATATTTTTTTTTTTTTTTTTTTGGGTACACGATCATGATGCGCTCATGTTTGAAACTCTCTCCTATCTTAGAGGTCATAATCATTTCAAAGTAATTGTTTTCAGTAATGGTACTCCTAATTCTTTGATTCTAAGCTGTAATAATTAGTGTCACTACCATCATCCACAAGTTGTCTTTATGGTCACCATTATGTTGTGCCAATTATTCCCACTACATTTCTGATTAGTTCTAGTTATATTAAGAAAACCCAACACATTTCTTTTCTGTTTTTTTTTTCCCCTTTCTTTCTCTTTTCCTTCCTCAAATTTATTAGTGCAATTTTATGAATTAAACTCTATATTTTAAGTTTCTAAGAACTATAGCCTGTACGTAACTAAAATCAAGGCCTAGGCGTTGTCCCATTTGCTTTGATTAAACTTGGTTAGGTTCATGAAAGTAACAAGAATCATGTGGTAGAGATGGCACCGACCCCTTTTAAACACAAGAAACAGTTTTGAATTAGAAGACTTCATCATGCATTTGATTAGCTTTGAGTATGAGAATTTGAACCCATTAGTTAATGAAATAGTGCCTTACTGTAGTAAAGGCCAAGATTCAACCTTCGTCTCTGAAAGTAGGGGTGCACACGGTTCAGTTCCTTACCGGAACCGTTCATAACGATTCCTAAAAAACTGAACCGAAACCGAAATCGTATAAATTAGAACCAAACCAGAACCGTTAACCATGAGTTGAGAGATAGCGGCTGAAGCTTGCGAACCCAAATTAGAACAGCGGGCAATGAAAACTAAAAGATATAGGTATTGACTTTTTGAACAATCTGAAATGATATGCCAATATGGGTTTTGAACTTTTGATTCTTGCAGACAGATCTGAAATATATGGGTTTTGAACTTCTGATTCTTGTAAATTTTGTAGTTTACAGTTGCCGGGGGGGGGGGGGGGGGGGGGGGGGGAAGCTTGCGAGCCTGAACTGAAACAACCCTGAACTGAAACAACGGGCGATGGAAACTAAAAGATATGCCCGAACTTGAACAGCGGGCAATGGAAACTGAAAGCGGGGGGCCTGAACTGAAACAACGGGCGATGGAAACTGAAAGATATGCCCGAACTTGAACAGCGGGCAATGGAAACTGAAAGATATGGGTTTTAATTTTTTGAACAATTTGAAATGATATGCCGATATGGGTTTTGAACTTTTGATTCTTGCAGACATATTTGAAATATATGGGTTTTGAACTTCTGATTCTTGTAGATTTTGCAATTTACAATTGGAGAGAGAGAGAGAGGGGGGGCAAGTTCAGATTCGAGAAAATAGAGATGGAGATTGGAGGTGATTGGGGAGGCTGAGGCCCAGATCTAGGGCAAAAAACTAAAAAAATAGGTATATATATATATATATGAGGTTATATATATATATATGAGGTTATATATATATATATTACGGTTCCGGTTCTTACCGGTTCCCACGGGCTAGAACCGGAACTGGAACCGTATGCCCATGGTTCCTAAATTAGGGACCGGGACCGTGACCGGAACCGGAATCAAAATCGTGAGAATCAAAATCGAAGCTTTGGTTCCGGTTCACTTCTCACGGTTCCACGGTTCTTTTGTGCACCCTTATCTGAAAGAAAGAAATAAAAAAACAAATCTCATATCATCTTAAAGCAAAGCACAATACATTAATCAAACAACAAAGCTCTCACAACTTATACAGTTTTCGAACAAAATCAATGATCCCCAAATAAATAAAACCAAGAAAATATATTGAAAAAGAAAAATCCTCAAAGTCTGATTGCTTCTAAAGCAAACCCTTGATACAATCTCAGCTCAGCTCAGCACGACAATAACGATTGCTACAAAAATACTACTATAACACTAGGCCAACAATCCTGGCTGTCTCCGTGAATTTCCTATCATATCCTGAATGGTCTGTTTCCAGAGCTCGACCGATCCATCTTTGCTTTATTTAATTTTGCCTTCTTAGTTGCAATTTCTTGGAATAGATTTGGCCCAGCAAAGTCATCCTTGGAGCTCCTTATCTTCTTCCTCTTTCCACGGTCATACTCTTCATCCCTGGTTAAATTTGACAATTACGTGTTCAGAGACTGCAATTTATCTATAGTGCACAAACAGTAAAACATCACCCAAAATCAAGCTGGATATCAGCGGGGATATGATAAAGTGGAAGGCTTAACAATGTGCAACACAAGCACATACATGCTCCCATCCTTTTTTATAACCAAAAATTAAAAATTAAAAAAACAAGTACTAAATCCTGCTAAAATGTTGTGCATAAACTTGACAGATGAGACCAAACAGTTCTGCAGCATGAAAATAGCATACAAAATGAGATCTAGCTCAGTTGGTATCAAGGGCTTTGCACAAAGTGGGAGGTCGGGTGTCAAGAATCCTAACAATGATACTCCAAGGTTGGGGATAAGAACTTGAAGTTTTATGCTAATAATCAGGAGGACCAAAAGAAAGAACAAAGAAAAAGATGACAACTCTTTTTCTATAGCTTTACTTTTCCATTTTAGAATAAGGATTATGGAAGCAAATGGGAAAAGCTCTTCAGATCTTTCGACCAATGATATTGGTTTAAGGCAAACAGCCGCAAACTCGGTTCGTGAAAACACAATGTAGAATAGTTTGATCCGGCTTAGGGTTGAGGAAGCACACACAACTTGGAAAAGGATAAAAATTTAATTTGCGAAACAAATACAATGGTTATTGATATTCAGCAATAAATCAAGTCAGTAGGTTTATATTTCCTCACAGCCTTCAACAGAATCCAAATTTTAAGCAACTCTTAACGCTACTGATTCTAAATTTACAGCATGGACTTGCACTTTGAAGTGTGTTCGCAAGAGTGGCATGATACAAAATAAAGAACCTTACTATAACAACCCATTTTTTTTCCAAAAATAATTTCAGAATAAGCATAAAAGGTGAGAATCTAATTGCTTGCTCATACATGCATACCATTTAGATTTATCAATATAATATAATAATAAAATATGCATTTAGCTTTTACAGAGTCACCCATAACTCATGGGTTATCAATATAATATAATATAAAATATGCATTCCACAGCCATTGGCAATGAATGGCCCACCAAATCAATTGTTTTAACATTTAATTAACTAAACCACAGGAAACAATGCATATGGCTTAATATAGATCAACTCACCATTCATCTGCAACGTAACCAATACTGACACTCTTGGGATTACTTGATCCTGTAATCTGACGTGGAGGCAATTCAATCCCATCCCAACAGGTAACTGCAATCAATAATATTAGTCAAAAAGAATGACAATCAAATCAAGCAATTCTATCACATGAATGGCTGATGGCCAGGGTGTATATGCAAGGTTCAAAGTATTCCTGAAGTTTGAGTGCCACAAAATGATCAGTGAAATGGAAAGAAATATCCAATTGATCACTTACCAACTGTCTCCTCTACTCCTCTGGTAAGCATACTCGTAAAAACATTATCTCTTCTGCTGTTGTTTGATCCATTAGTTCCTCTGGCGTCCCACTGGATTCCAACTGAAGCAGAGCTTGAATATTTTTTAGGTTGCTCATCAGTTGCAAGCATATTGCCACAATGACCAACTCTCTTTCTAAATTCTTCATCAACGAGATTCATTGATATATCACCATAACAGTTTGCATCATTCTTTACAACAGCACCATCATCTCTCATATTTGATCTGGACTTCATCTTTTTTCTTCGAGGGGGAGTTGAGCCAGCACGGCATATTGTCCTGGCTTTCTCAGACGTAGATGGGCCAAGATCTGCTGGGAAACAATTTGCATCCAAAAAGTAATTCTGAGAGAGATTCTTGACCTTTAAATGACGCTGTTTGCTTCGTTTATAGCTGTTTTTCTTCCGTAGGCTCAAGGATGCACCAAAAAGGATGTTTGAGCCAAGATGCACGCTCTTAATCTGGCACTTGAGGAGCTTCTTTTTTATTTTTTTGGGGGGCTTGCTGTCAGCAGCTTTCCTGAGTAACAAGATAGCTGTTGTGGTTGGTAAGCTTGACAATTCTACAGCTCCAGTATCCCCCATTCTCTGAACAATATCACCATCCTTTTCACTTCGGGGACCGCTGACGGCACTCTGCTTGGGAAAACCTCCAGTCTTGGGAGCAAAAGTAAAAAAGAGAAACAGAAGGAAGAAAATTGAAGAATTTAAGATTTGGCCAAGAAATTAAAATTGTAGTTCAAGGTATTACAATAATAAAGATACTCACTTGACTATCTTCATTGCCTGTCAAATTTAGTGACCTCACACGGAAAATTTTCTTACTAGGATCCCGCAATGAAGCATTATTATCACTCTGGACAAATAAAAGAGAGAACATGTTATATAAAAGAAAAAGGGAAGTGCAATTTACACCCCAGGCAGAAACGAAGATACTGGAGCCTCGTCCTGAACTTAAATAATCTGGTTACCTTCTGACACTGGGTCTCATCTGTGATACAGATATCTCCAGCAGATAAATATGTGCCATTGCAGTTACTTGGTATAGCAACCGAGCCACTTAGATCTTTCTTGGTACTTCTGTCTTCATTGCTGTTGGGAGGCATGGCAACTGCGTCCGTCAAATCTCTCTTTGTATAAGGGTTATGGTGGCCACTGTAGTTGGGTGGTGAGGCAACAGAATTATTCAGATCTTTCTTTGTGCTTGTTTCATGATTGCTGTCACTAACTTCACCAGCAGCTGTTGTGATCATCGCTTTATCAAGTTTAGTTGAAGATTCTAATGAAGTGTCCTTGTTGCATTCTGCCATCATCGGGCCATTAATTTTTTGAGCAGATGCTTCTTTCTCCATGGTCACTTTTGCTGCACATGCATTTAGTGCACCCCTTTGGTCTACGGCAGCAGAAGAAACTGCACCGTTTAACTTTTTCTCAATTGGAATGTTATGAATCATTTCCTTCAAATTCTTGCTCGAACTTGAATGTGCTTTATTTCCCATCGCATTCATGGGCAAGTTATCTTTTTTGACAATATTGAAAGGCTTCTTTGGAGCAAAAATTTTCCTATCTCGGAAATAGAACAACATGTAGGCCTTCTGCTCCAAAACCTTCCTCTCATTAACTTGGACAACCTGTTTTGTATCATATTAGATAAATCCGTAAGGGAAGTAATTCCTCAAAAGAATCAATACTGACCACAAATTAAAAGGAAAAATAACCTCACTTTAAAACAATTCAACCAGACCAAGACCCAACCAAATATATGAACAATAATTAAAATCTTCAACATATATAAAGAACATGCTATCCAATATAAGAAATACAAAACCCCAAGGGGTTGGTTCAAGTGGATAAGAACTTGGCCCTGGTGCCTCATGAAGCATTAGGTTTAAGGTTTGAATCTTCTTGGGCGCAAACAATTCCTTGAAGAGGAGGGAGAGGGGGTGTTTGAGTACCAACTAGGAAAAAAAAATATATATATATATATAAATATAAGAAATACAAGGAACGACAAATCATATAATTATGGTTTATTAGGGTTAGTATACCCCAACCTATAGTGCTAAACTCGAAACACTCGATTATCAAATCCCCTTCAATTCGAGCTTTTCGAACCGCAGTCTCATAGAGCTCGTTGAGATAAATATTTTCCGTTCTTGGACCCTTGACAAATTCCCTCTTCTTAGCCTTGAATTTGAGAGGCTAGGGTTCTCTTTTCTTTTCTGTTTTCACGCTTTACTGGGTTTGGTCTCTTTGAGTACAGGGTAAGCCCCAAAAACACACTTTCTTTTTTTTTTCCTAGGTGTAATATTGTGATATGAGTTGACATTGTGATTTTTTTTTAGAAAGGTTATCCTTAGTTTCCTTGTAGCAATAAACAACTCAGCAATCCTTATTCAACCACAACGTGGTTGCTAGAAGAATACTAATTTTCCATTCTTGGCACTATCTACAACACTATCTCGGTCAAATTGTTGGTATTAAATAGATAGGTGTAATTTCTTCTTTATTTTTTCAATCTCATAACCATTACATATTACATGAACATTAGCACCAGGTAATCTAACCATTAGAACTGTGTTGTTCAATCTCATAACCAATACATATTACAATAAAATTAGCACCAGGTAATCTAATCATTAGAAATATGTTCACATAGAATAGATATACATATATATATATGAATGCACAAGTGTAACTGTATATGGAAACATGATTACCTAAGGACAAAGGTATCTGACTTCAATAGCATCACATGTACTTAAGTCATCTAGCCTTGATACTTTACACTTTCTACCTAATGAACCTGCTTTCCTATGTAATTAAATTTCTAAACATTGATTCACCACTCAACTGAATATACAAATTAATTAAAATAAACATTAATGAAATCATAATAACAAATAAGCGACTGAACTAAAATAAAGGGTATGACACGGACAGTCATGAGGACCGCGCCGGGGGGGGGGGGGGGGGGGGGGGGGGGGGGGGGGGGGGTTCATATTTTGGTATCAAACTCACTACAAATAAAGGCCTATAACTAAAGGGCTTTGAAAATTTTTGGGGGTACCGTGGGCCCCCACCCCCCCCCCAAAAAAAAAAAGAACAAGTCCATAGAGTATTTTATTGGCCTCCAACCCCAAGCCTGTAAAATATATCAACTTGGGCCCTTTAACCCAGTTGAAACAATCCCAAATCTGAATAAAAAATTTAAGCCCGTTATAGTATATTAATACACCACATAAGTTAATAGGAACGGAAGATTCGGGGTCCACCCCTGAATCCTAGCTAGAAACAATATGAACAAGGATCAAAGTGTTCAACCTTTTTATCTTTAAGAAAAATTGACATCGTACACATGATCACCACAAGTCATGCATACAATAACTGTTTTTTCACATAGGACAGAAAATAATTTTAATAGTAAACTATGTGGCAGGTAGCACTAAAATAATAAACGATTCCACAACGATAACTGATCCCGATAAATTACACCCCATACAGCCCCGCATCTGTTACACCAAGTCCACATCAACAACCGAGTCTTCAAACTTCCAAATTAGTGATGAATCAAGGCAGCTAAGTACGAAGTAACATTGAAGCCTATGATCCCTACAGACCATATTTGGAGGAAACGTGAAATTTTTGGATTCTAAAGATCTCAAAAAGGCAACAGCATAATATGGGGTCTAATAAAGTAATCCATATAACAAGTGAACTAACTATGGAACAAGTAAATGCACATTGGGTTAACCACATATTGCTCAACATGGTAGTCTATTGTCTTTCCAACCCATATATGGAAGCAATATGGCAGTTTAAACCCACCAGGTTATATGTCAAGGCAACACGATAATTAAGGTTCTAGCGATCAGAAAAAAATAAGTGAAAATGGGAAGAGAAAATCTACTATCCTTTGGTCTATATAGCATTTTAAGGGATAAGTACAGCAATCGTGATATCATTATAAAAAGAGACGTCACAAAAAGCTTAGCCCTCACCAAAAATGCTGATACAAATTTGAAGTACTGCCACTCACTCAAATATTGAAATGGCTTCGCATTATTTCTTGGACTAGCCACAAAGTTTCAACACTACACTACATATTGTATAGTTTGCTAATGCTCTGGTCACAGTCCCATGCACACCATAGTTGTATTTTAGCTCAATGGAAGCTTTATATAATAGCCAATTTTAGAGCCCGGCATTATATCTAAAACCCTAGGGGACTTGATGTAGGCACGGGACACTACAAGAGTTATCAAAATGTCAAAACTTGTGGGGAATTTAAAGTACCGGGTCTGAATGAGATCCTAATGGATCTTCTGAACAGACAATTGAAAAACCATAATACGTATTACATAAAATAAAAATAGAAATTCTCTTCAAAGACGATTAAAAAAAAAAAATTTATTGATCAAAAATGGACTAGAAGGTGTGCACAAACAACTCCTGGAAAAAACCCATGGATAATGATAGAATAAAAAGAAAATGAGGTTAATTTTAATACCTTATTGTCATCAAGGTAGTACCACATGCCACTTGATGTACGAACAAAGCAGTAATAGTGACCAGAATGGGTACTCCAACCAGCATGAACCAAAACACCATAAAGAGTGTACTTAAGATCTCCATCCTGCCATTTATGAGATAATGAGAAAAATAATAACCATCGTAATCAGAAGTGGAAACACATAGAAAATTTTTAAATAACACCGTAAATCTACCAGGTATATAAGAGACAGAGTTGTCAGACTCTTGCAATATCCTTATAATATTTTAACCACTAGGCTAATTGCAAGAATCTGACAGAATCTGATTTATTAGCAATTTTTAGTAGTACAGAATGACAATATATTAGGCTCAGTTCTCAGCCTAATAAATCTACCATCTGAGATTCAGCATACAACCACCATACAATATGCTTGTGAACCCCTAATTACATTACTTGACATACAATTAACAAAATTGGTAGCAATGATTTACCTTTCCTTTTGACAATGATTAATGCATTCCCTATTGGAAACTTTGGAATTGTAATATGCTCGACAGATTATACATAGATCTGAAAAAATAAGGATAAACAATATGCAAAATGACGAGGAAAATTGTTATGGAAACTTGAGAAAAACAACAAAAAGAATACAGATGTAAGTGCCTAGAAAAGCCTAATAAGGTGAAAACTATTAACTATTCCACTCAGACCTCGGTGTTCCCCATTTGATTCCCCTTACCCTCATTTAAAATATAAAAAATAAAAAATAGAAGTAGTGATGAAACTAAAAAATAACTTCTCAGGTCATTTTTCCGTTTAAGAAGCTATACATTTCTCAAATAGTTTTCCCCTGGCAGCAATTAAACAGTGAATTCAACCACTCTTAATTAAAGTCAAAAACAGAATATCCAGCACAAATTCAATGAAGATATGGAACTTGAGTGAAAGTGGTACATCTCGACTAAAATTTCAATTTTGTTTGTAACAGAAATTCTAAATTTTAAAATCTTTTATGCTTTAAAAAATAGGGTCGCACAGTCAACCTATATGTTCTAGTAGAAATGAAGCTGGCATTAGTAAAAATTCAACTTACATAAGGACCAGTGACAAAAGGTTTTAGGTCAAATGTGGGACCAAACTCAACTTTTTTGTCGATCTTCTGTCCAGGTACATATGAACCAAACCGCTTTAGGTGGATAGCAAGAACATAAGGTGCCTCGTAAACTGTAAGCTGTTTGATTGCCTTCACTTTCTGCTTGCACTTCTGGCACTGGTACTGCCTCTCCCCTCCGTCTAACTGTTCTTTGGCGGTGAAGTGCGCAAGTGCCTTATACAATGAATCCACCTTGGCAATTTCAAGGCTTAAATCTAAAAATGGATCGAACTTGTTGGAGCAGAAGGAACATTGCATGCATTTCACCTTTAAAAAAATTGTGGGGAACCATAAGAAGTGAAAGGTTTTTTTTTTATAAGTCAGAAGTGAAAGGTTTGGGAATCGGATCCTAGGAAATTTCAAAGTACTGCAAGGAAATCCATTGCAGAACTCCAAAGTTATTCTCAAATAACTTCTAAATTCTGAGTCATTGCCAAAGGCAACATATATCACAGGCAAGAAATAGTTACCTGACTACAGAGTCTACCACCAAAGATCTTGTGCACCAGACTTTTCTTGTAAGCACCTGGTGATTCGCTTGGCACTCCTGAAGGCAAGGAACATTTGTGCATCGACTCCAGCAAATTTACCATATACTCATGAGCATCCTCTTGTCTAGCATTTCGGAAGTTCCGGGATATGCCTAATTATATAGTCAAGAATTCCAAACTCTACCATAAAAATAAGAAAATGCCCTGCATAATATATATATATATGTACAAATATATATATATATATATATATATATATATATAATATACTAAACTTAACCATTGATTCTTAGTGGATCTTTAATCCATGACAAAAGAAAAAAATAATAATAATTTATTCCTAAAATAAGCAGACTTAGTAGGGAATGGCTACTTGCACTGCCCAATATGCGAAAAATTGCAAATATGCAAGGGTAAAACACACTGACCTCACATGAGGTTTAGTGAAATTACACATTGAAAATTTTAAAGGAAAAAAAAAATTGCACTATCGTGCTTCAACTTAGCATGTGAAATGTCCTTTATACCCTTCATATTTTAATGTTATTGCAATACAAAATGACAATTTTGCCCCATCATAATTTTATTCCCCCCTCCCCTCCTTTCTCTATTATTACCTTTCTGCATTCTCCATCTCCTCTTCACCTCCCACCGATGCCACTCCTCCCACAACTTCCATCACCATCTCTGCAGCCACGACCTTCTATTTTCTCTCTTCTCCACCTCTTACCACAACTGCCACCTCACCATTACCTCCCCCCAACCCAAAAAAAAAAAAAAGAAGCCATCACCCCCTCCTTGCACCACATCTACCATCCACAGTATTTTGTCACCCGATACCTTCTTCCTCTCTAAATCTATAGCATCAAATCAGTTCATATCCTCTTTGTCTAATCTTACCAGTAACAACCAGTCAATCTCCATCCATAATCTCCACCACTACAAACTAAATTTTAATCACAAAAAAACTAACCTATTACCAAATTCAAACAATGCAAATAATAATTATCAATCCATTATTCACTTTTTAAAAATTGTAAACAAATAAATAAATATTATTTTAAATTGAATATTTACATATTTAAATGAAATGTAATTAATCGGAAAATTAAATATAAATTAAGGTTTCATATCTTTACATTTTTTAAATGTAAACATATAAATTCAATGAAATATATTTTTGTACAAGTAATAGTACTTTTTGGTAATTTCATAGCATTTTAGGGGTAACAATGTCCTTCTGGATAGGTTGAATGCCATTTTGGTATGTTGGAACTCGAGCATTTTGGGCAGAGGTGGTCGTTATCACATCCAAAGTTCATGGGAATAAAGTGCTACTTTTTCAGAATTTCATGCCGAGTATAATTTCACTTAACCTCATGGGAGGTCAGTGTATTTTATCCAACATAAAGATATTTGCGCAGGAGAGGCAGTTCGTATATTTGGCCATTACATTAGTTTCATTGCAATAAAAGAAGAAAAGGAAAAAATAATAATAATAATAAGTAAAAGAAAAGGATGTTGAAAAATGGCAGGGTAGGGATAGCGGTAGGGGAAATGGTGAATTTTGACAGTGGTATCAAAACTTGAGAACTCAGGATCCACCACCATGTTAACAAAATCCCTTTTCTACAAACCTCCCCCCTTTTAAAATCATAGAAGAAATAATAAAAGATTCCCATAGATAAAGTAAACAGTTAAAAAAGAAAAACTATAGAGAATCTTTAACTGAAAATTAAGAAAATGGTTCACCATAAACATTAAAAGGATACACCGCAAGTTGGAAACAAGGTCCTTAGGTGCTAGGATTCTCCCAGTTGCTTGTAGAGCACGGCTAACATGTTTCTGGATGGCACATAAGGCACAAAACCCAGCAGCGCGACCTTCAAGAATCAATTTTGAAAAGAAAAAAAAAAATTATAATGAAGAAAAACACCAACACAAATAGAACTTCTAAAATTAGGGACTGGCATAGAGGGAATCAAAAGAACATAAATGCATATAAATATAGTTATATATATACATATATATATTTATATTTATAATTGTAGCCTCACTAGAAACTTCACTCTTACATACTATGGAATTTTCAAACACTCCCTATGTGGGGTACAAGAAACTAGAAGCAGAGTGTCAGTGATAGTTAGTCCCATTTCGAAAAAATCCTTAGCCTCTTTATAAATATAATAGATCACTTATCCTCGTTGGGCAGTTAAATGAAACGGAGCAAGAGAAAAATAGGCACTAAATTGAGTATGTTTTGAATTTAAATAAGTAGATCAAGATTATTTCTACAGTTTTTCCTTCCAATTGCACACAGCATAGCCACACACACACGCACACACTGAGAGTAAGAAAGAGGCTCACAAGAAATTTGATGCTTCCCGCTTTGTAGATATGCAGCTAAAGGTTCTGTGTAAGTAAGACATTGTAGTACTGAATTGAGAAAACAAGTATTGCCAAGATTTTCCAAACCAGCACCCTGCAAATAATTTATACCGTCATCATGTATAATACAGTGTTATCAAAGGCCCAAGGTGCACTAAAGCGCTAGAGGTCCTTTGGAGTCACAGGCGACCGAGGCGTGCGCCTGAGTGAAGCGAGGCACACAATTGAAAAATTAAATTACTATTAAAGCATATTCATATTCCATATTAAAGGCGCAAATGTTGTCAAAGGCGCACTTGGGCACACAACAGTGTTGCGCCTGTATGAGCCTGGAGCCTGGACGCGCGCCTTTAACAACATTGAGATAACCTCAACAGTGCAAATAATTTAAGCAACCTGATAAACTCAGATGGAATAAAAAATTTCCACAATTTAAACAAAAAATATAATAAAGTAAGAAAAAAACATACAATGTCAAATTAATCAAATTCATAATACAAAATTCAAGTGGATAACTCTCAATCCACATCAGATTTGGCACAGATTTTAAACCCATTAAATATCAAAAGCGCCATTTGGAAAGAAACCAAATTGAAAACACCAAATAACAAGAAAGCATCTAGGACTTAATCTGAAAATCAAAACGAAAGAGAATGGACAAAAATGACCAGCAAATTAGAGCTTTTGATAACTAGCCATTTACCAATTAAATTACATTGAGCATTGGTAAAACATTAAATAAGGAATATTATAAAACAAATATATATATAAAAAAAAAAAATTAAAATAAAAAATAAAAAACCCCTAAACAGAAGGGGAATCCAACTTTGATAAGAAAATTGGGTGGGGGGAAATGTGGACTGAAATTCCAAAACAGTCGCAACATCAAAGCAACCAACAAATTAGAGAACTTGATAACTTGCCATTTACCAATGAAATTATATGGAGCACTTGCAAAAAAAAAAATAGACTTTGATAACCAAAAAAAAAAAAAATGTGAAAAGAAATTGAACAACAAAGAACACAACATCAAGGCACCACAATACAACTCAAGAGACATATAAATTATAAGGGAACAAACTCTAATAAAATATAAATAAGTAAATAAGAACTACAAAATAACATTGAGCTTATAACATCAAGAAACTCAATAAAAAAACAATAAAATGATGGAAATTAGACTCTTTTAGGAAGCAAAACAAAGCAACAACTGATCTTCAGAAAAGTTAGAAGTAAATTGGATTGAACAAGAAATAAATCATGAGACGTCCACCAAAAACAATCCACAAAAACAATATAAATGAATTGCTTTTTATCTTCTATAGAGACTCATTCTTGATCCATCCACACTTAAGAGGCTCTACTACAACCAGAGAACACAACACATCCAATATTTACTTGTGAAGGGCCACTTCAACCTTATAGAGATAAATCTTCTCTATTAACCGACAAAAAGCTCATCTCAATGCAACTATGTGAGCTCTAGGGAGAATTATCTTCTATGCATCTCCTGTGCTAGGATTAACCTTCATGTGGTGCAGTGTTAAACAACTACTAGCATATGAATTACAATTGTTCGTATTTGATAATCTATGCATAGCGTTTTTATGTGGAATCTACCTCCTGGCACTAGAGAATGAAAATTGAGAACTTCAAATACATACAATGCAGACTCAAATTACACAATGTCCATCGAACAATAGAGAAAGAATACCAATAGGAACCCCACATCAAACTCAACTCAAAAGATGAAATAATTCAGTGAAATCTTCAAAGGCATTTGAAACTGACCCATAATGACAGAACTCACTAATTAAAAAAGTAAATCTCAAAATTCAAACTCAACTAAAACATTAGGAATATTTTTCCGGCTCTCTTCTCTATAGTTGATGGAGTTGTTAACTTGTTTCGGAGACCCAATTTACAGATCCTTAAATAATGAGCATTTAAAGCAATGGGTGCTTTCTGCAAAAGGCTTTATGGTGCTTCTACTTTCAAAGGAAGCACATACTCATACTCCTTGAGATGGTAGTTCAACAGACCTGGCACACTCGGGGTGAGGTCTTTTCATGATAGCTTTACAGAGAGGATGGATCCTGGCTCCCATGGAAGAGTGATCGCTTTCTCGGCAACAACTTCACCTGGATCCTCTCTTGTGCCGAAGCAACAACTCTAGATCGCTTTCACAGCAACAATTTCACATTGCTTATGCAACTACCTTAGACCGTTTACAAAACTTTAAATCACTGATTCGTACGTATTGCGTTGTATAAGACAGATGCATGTAACCAATGTATTACTGTTAAAAACGCCCAGTTAATGATTAATGGACAAAATCAAAAAACAATGCAACAAAAAAAGGTAAATCTTCAAAAAAAAATATTTATATATACTGAGCACAAAGTGCAAAACACCAAATAAAAAACCAGAAAATGCAAATAATCAAACTCAACCAAAAGGAGAAAAACCACAATAAAATCCTTGAAACATTAAACCAACCAAAATTAAACAAGCATATATGGAGAACGGCTGTTATACCAACCCAAAGAAAAACAAAAACACTTTAAGAAAGGAAATGGCAAAAAAAAAAAAAAAGAAAGCTGAAAAATGAAATTTCAAGAAACACGGGGCATACACCCAAAAAATCCACCGAGTGAAAGAGACGCTCAAAACTACAAGGGTTGTAATGTAGTGATATCTCCTCAACCTCCCAAAGTGAGAGAGGTGGAACCCGGATCCTCTACTCTGCCAAGGCATCAACTTTACATCGCTTTCTCAGTAACAACTTCACCTGGATCCTCTCTTGTGCCAACGCAACAACTCTTAATCGCTTACAAAACAACTCTACATCACTGATTTGTAGCATAAGACAGATGTGTGTAACTAATGTATTGTGTTGTGTAACAGACGCATGTAACCAATGTATTGCTTTATGTAAGCGGTACATGACACAAATACTGGATCCCAACACAGGAGGTGATTCGGTGAGTATTCAAGTCCGCATAGGACAAATGGGCTGTGTGTCTGAGTTTCTTGCCCAAAAAAAAAAAACAAAAAACGAAAACCTCAAAACTTATAAAATCGTCAAAGACATTGAGAAGCAAGAAAGGCGTGTAGTACAGTTCCACTATTCCTGAAAAAAAACACTTCAACACCATCCAGTAAACTAAACGCAGAAACCCAAAAAAAATCAAATTTACAAGCATAAATTGCATAAACAAATTTAAAAATAGCTAAAAAACGCCTACAGTGAGCATACTCGGCATAGAGTAACTGAATGCAGAAATTATTTATATATACAAGTCAAAAACCAAATGAATTTAAATAAATATGCATTGTTAATAAATAAATAAATAATAATAATTTGAATACTGCCCACTTAATAACTTACAATTCTCCTGAAAGTAATCCGGAAACTGAGTTCGGGATCCAACCCAGTTTCAGAAAACTCAAACCCATCTGATTTCTTCCCTGCCAAGGCCGATGGATCACCACCCTGGTTTTGCCCAGGTCTCTGGGGTTCGGAGCTTGGGTTCAGACTCTCCAACCGAAAATCTCCGCCGCCATTACTAAACCCAGTGAATGGGTTCCTAGCTCGATGGAACTCAATTCGTCTATGGAACAGAGATCCGTTTGAGGACGGAGAATCCAAAAATCCATCTGGCTGTGTATTGGATTCTGATGCAGTGATCAAAGTATCAGCCATGTAAGAGGTCACTGAAATTGGGTCGAGAGGTCTTCAGATTTTGTATGAAAACCCTCCCTCTCTCCCTATGCAAAAAATTCTCTTTTTATAAGCTTCTGCATCTATTCTCGCTGTCTCTCTGAAACCAGAGACACGGTTTCGGCTTCTGCAAAAAGAAAAAGAGAGCCATTGCAAAACACTATTAAAACCCTACAAATGGAAGAGCAATGCTATTTAGCACGACAAATAAACAAACCGACTCTTTACCGAGGGTACGCGTTCGTCCATGTGAGAAGTGGATCGGGTAAAATGCAAAAAAATCATCTTAAACTATTGGGGTTTTTCAAAAAGCCACGCAAAATAGTACATTTTCATGCCAAATGGATTATATTTCCATGCCAAATCGACAGCTATAGTGTCGAAATTCAAAGTATTATTTTTTTGATATAACAATCATTCTTTATTTTTATTTTAGTAACCTTTAACAATTTCAAAATATAAGAGGTGAGGAAAAAAATAAATAAATACGAGAGGTATTTTAAGAGAATTCATTGAAGTGTTTATTTTCATCCACTTATTATATTTTAAGTTTGAGAAGCCATTTAAAAACTGCTATATTTGATAATACAGAATCTCAAATATATGAGACTTTTGAGAACCCAAGCATCTCCAATGCAAAATGTTATATTTTCATATCAAATCTATATTTTTAAAATACTCTGTCAAAATATTATATTTTAATAATTCTGCTCCAATGGTACATTTCATCCAAAATGATATATTTAAATTAAAACTAACAAGAAAAGTATAAAATTATGAAAGATCTTTTGATAGCTTATTGGAATGTTCTCAAAATATAAAAGATCTTTTGAAAGCCTGTTGGGGTGTTCTCAAAATATAAGAAGTCTTTTGAGAGTCCATTAAAGTGTCTTATTTTCATCCCCTTACCATATTTTGAGTCTCAAAGAAATGGGAGATGCTCTCGAGTACCTTATTTTTATCCGCATGTTATATTCTGATTTGAATCTAAGAGTCCATTTGAGCTGCTCTTAGAAACTAAAAAAAATAAAAAAAAAAAAACCTTAAATTATGAATTGTTGCAATTTGCCCCATGTCACCGGAAAAGGAAAAGATAATTTTACCCTTAGCATAAAATCTCACCGGTTTTTATCTTCTTCATGTGTGAACATGTACACAGACCAAACCGGCGGTCAATCGCCACCACCTCCCCACTTCCACCACACGCACCATCACCGCCCATGAAACCCAGTGAAACCCAATCAGAACCACAAACTCACTTCTACCACCACGCTACCTCACTGAATGTAGCACACAAATTCACTGCCACCATCCAAACCCACTCCAATCAGACCCAAAGCAATACAAATTCAAATAATTGATGCTGAACCAATTTGTGAAACCAATTGAACCACAAAACCCACTCCCGCCATCACCGCCACGTGGAAGCCCGCAGACCATATGTGGTTATGCTCATAACTTGGATGGTTGTTTTGATCATCATTGACCCCAAACCAAAACCACGAAGCACCCAATTAACACGACCACTTATGTCTAATTGAAGACTAGAAACTCCATTGTTGAAGACTTCGCATATGGCCGGAACTCCATTGTTGAAAGCCCATAGCCGAGAGCTGATATCGAACCACACAAACCACTGCTACCAGCCCACCCCGCCACCACCATCGCCGCCACCTCACCAAGGTCACAACGAATACGCCCCGACGGGAGTGACACAAATTATTCAAGCACGAACCAAATTTAAGGAGCTATTTCCAACAGGAACCAATATCGAGAGGAGTGCGGTTGATTTTTGCCTTCAATTTTGCAATTTTATCCAAACGGGTTAGGGTTTCTACAACTGTGGAGTTGGGTAAGTATAAGGAGCTGTTTGTCTCTGACAATTACTTAAGGGTAATTTAGTCTTTTAAATTTTGTAATGGCATTATTGTCCAATAATTCTCACGTGAGAAAGACGTGCTATTTTAACCGACATAAAGCGGTGACCCGGACAATTTGCAACAAATTTCAGTAGTTTAGGGGTTTAATTGTAACTTTTGTAGTTTATGAAGTTTTTTGCAGATTTACTAATAGTTGAGGGGAATTTATTGCATTTTATCCTAATACTCCTTAATGATGCAACACACTTCTAGATACGAGCTAAAGAATTGTAAAAATGATGCAAAGAAATAAAGGGATATCAAATACTTATGAATTTTGGGCGAAATCGAATAAATTTTGCCCGTCTTAGCTTTTTTAGATTGTGATTTTTTTGCCCTAATTATTTCAGATCGTGATTTTTGAGCTTTAGGGCTTTTTGGCTATAAATATGTGTGAAAGAATTGAGAGTGAAGTGAGAAAGTGAACAATTATTGATTATGGTTATAAATTTGTGAGAAATTTGGAAAAACAAGCAAGATGGAGAGTCGGGGATGGAGTGAATTGATTAGATATTGTGGATGCACATACACAGCCACGAAACTCAAATTCTAAGGCCTTATTTGGTAATATTTTGGGTGTGTTTGGTTTGTTATTATGGAAACAGATTTTTATTCTCAAACAATTAAAAATTATCTTTAAAAAATTCTATTTCTGAAAACTCAGTTATTGAAATACATATTTTCAGATACTATAAAAGATTATTATGTGATAACAATTTTTTGGTTGTTGAGTTCTTAAAAATTATTTTCAGAGTTACAAACCAAGCAAATTCATAAATATTTTTATGTTTTATTGCCATTTTTAAAATTTATTAACCGCAACAAAAAGTCATTTCATAAACTTTCCAAAACTGTTGTCAATTTGTTTAAAAATTTCACTACTCCAAAATGAAGCTTTGATTTTATATTTTGGATTTTTGGGATACTAACAGAATATAAACCAATATGGTGAATTTGTCAAGGACTCTCTCGCTCTCAACCGTCCCCTCCTTCGAAAAATAAATAATAAAAAATTAATTTCCAAAAAAAAGCTCTCTCAATCCTCACATCATAATTCATATAAAACCAGATCAAGTTTTATTATTATTTTATTTTTTCTTAGAGTTGTCTTATAATCGGAACCATTTCCTTCTTCTTTTTCATTTCATTTTTTTTTTTTAAGTAGATTTCTTACTTTATTTTGTTCTTATTTGGAAAGACATTTTTTTTTCTTGGTTCGATCTAGATGGTTGTTCTTACCCAGAGACAAGCCTTCGGGTCGAAACAAAGAAATGGTGTCTTTGCATTTTTTTCTAAATAAACTATTATTTAAGTTCTTTTACAATAAAATTGTTGAGGGGATAATATCACTTACCTCTTTTGAGGTTAGGCGCAATTACAGGTAATACTTCTTACATTTCAAAAATTACACCGTCCTCCTTCAAGGTTTGTTCCGTTATAAGACTCATAACACTTTACCCCTTCGATAAAAGTTAACGTCAGTCAATGATAATTTTTTATGGCATCGGGAATTTTTAACCCTGTAATACCACATTTGCTTTACTATATTTGCAAAGACATTTTAACCCTTACTTTTGTATTAAAATAACCTATATACTCTAGAGGAAAAAAATAATAATAATACAAATACTGTGTAGTATATAAATATTTGTAACTATACTGTTTAGGGTTTTTGATGAAGAATTTTTGAAATATTGATCAGAAAAGAAATATGTTATCTGAATCAGATTCTGTAATGACCCGGATTTTTCAGATAAATTTTTCCCGTTATCTTTTCCCTTCTGAGTTTGGTTTCTTGTCGATTAGTATTGTCTACAATGCTCTGGAGTGATTTTCGAGACTCTTTTCTGTGGATTGACAACTTCCTTTGAGGATCGAGTCATTCCCACATTTTTCGTTTTTCGACACTATTCACTTTTTGTCTTTTTCCCTATTCCGTCTTTTCTTCATTTGTCACTCTGTTTGCGTAACCACACTTCTTGTGTTCGGAGTTGGTTTCTGACTTCACGTATCTTCATTCCCAATGATTTCTATGAGATACGTATCTTTACTTTCATGAGAAAGTACTCCGGTTGCTCTCGGTGTCCATAGGGGCATAAATGCAAAGTTCTTTGGAAACTTTTTCTTTTCTTGGGGTGTTTTTTCATAAATATCTTTTGAAGATATTTTATTTCAAGGGTATCTAAGAAAATATCTTTTGGAAGATATTTTCATTCTGGGGCAGTTTCGCAGTTTTCACTTTTTGGAGGGGTCATTGTGCAATTAATGAAAGTTATTGCTCAATGCCTTGTTTTGAGCCTGGATCCTCGTATGAGATTCATTTTCACATTTCGTCGAGTCGTGGACTATTAGAATTTCCTCCTGGACGATGTTTTCCAGTTTCAGGATTTCTGGCCCCAGTTTGCACCAAACTTGTTTTGGGCATAACTCTCTGCTCGGGACTCAATTTTCGACGCCGTTTCTTCTGTTATTCATATTTTCTCATTTGGAATCTTTTTCATTCACAGAGTTTTGCCGTTTGAGCACGTCTGCTCAGATTTCACTTTTCCGGACCCGGCGGGGCCCGTTCGAGACACCTTTTGAGTTTTTCTATAAATAGGGGGCCTTTAAGTGAAAAATCAGATTTTTGCTCTCTCTCTCCTCTCTCTTGGCCGGATCTAGAGGCAGCCATGGCTGCCATCTTCTCTCTCTTCTTTTGAGTTTCTTCCCTTTAATGAAATACCTTAATGCCTTAGTGTGTATTGTTCCCCTCAGCGAGGCTTTCGATTCCAACCTATTGGAATCTCGTTTTGGCCTTTTCTTAAGTTCGGGTTTGAAGTCAAGTTGTGTTTTTGATGGGGCTTCCTCGGGATTCATGTTCGTGGTGTTGTCCCCGACAAAACCTAGGAGTTTCGTCAGATTCGGAACCAATTTATTTTGGTGGGGTTTTGAGATTCATCTCAAATAGAGGTAGGGAATGTTTTAGGTTTTTGTGTGTGTTGTATTGAGTGTTTATCATGATTATAAAACTTATATATGTGCCTTGTATCAAATATAGAAAGTTAGTAATTTTTAATTCTTTGTATAAGATTTAAAATTCATGATGATATATAACTTTGATTTGAATTGTGGCATGGTAAAAAATCTTGTTTTAACATGTTGGTTAACATATATTAAATTTGGATTAATTAAATAAGAATTACTCTTTTTAATTAATATTTATCTTTTGTGAAAGATTAAAGTTCATGACCGTACCTTGCATGAAATTGAGTTGTATTATACTTCTAAATTAAGTTTTGGCATGTTTGTTAACATACTTTAATTTGAGAGCCTTTGGTTGAGTTTGAAAATTTAGAGACTTTAATTAAGAGAATTAATTAAAATCTAATTTTGTGGTTTCATGGGCCTAATTAAGCTTTTGTGGGAATATATGTAATGACCATGATATGTCTATTAGCATATATTAAATTGGGGCCAATTGGAAATGATTTGAAATCTAGAGAGTTTAATTATTTTGATATAATTAGATTCTATCTTGTTTATCCATGGATTTAATCATGTTTTAGAAAGTGCTTCTATTTTAAGATCATGGATTTAGACTTGTGAAGTATTCACTTGATTGTGTTATATGCATTGAAGGGCATTGTTGTTAAATTTATATTCATGAGAGTATGTTTCTATATGAATATATTGTTGGCTTGTGATTTCATAGCATTATGGATATGAAATGCTCATTATGTACAATTGAGAGTTATATTACTAACTTGTTACTATGTAGTAGTAATATGTATAAGTTATGAACTTATTTGGCTTATTTTGGAATCTTGGAACATTGTTAAGTTGAGATGGCTAGGGTTTGGCTCTAGTACGGGGGCATAAGTCCTCTAAGTCATTGAGATAATGCGCACTTAGGGTGGTCTTCCCTGTGGGTTAGTGCTCGAAATAACCATTGAGATCTCGGCAGAATTCCGAGCGTGATGTCCAAGTCTTCCACTATTTGTTTTCGCATTCAATTCCAAGTTGACAATCATGTTTACCTTGTTGACTTGTGATTTTGGCTATTGGCGATTTTGATGTTGTTAAATACATCCATATTAAATTGATATATTTAGTTGATTTCACACTTTTAGATTTCTAGTTGATAACCTAGAGAATCTATGTCTTGATGTGTGGTATTAGATATTCTAATTATGCGAAATTGTTATATTTAGTTGATGTTGCATTTTAGACTTCAAGTTGATAATCTTAAGAATCTATATGTTGTTGCTTTGTGTAAGCATGTTCCTATGTTGTTGCTTTGTGTAAGCATGACCCTATGTTGCTAAAATTGCATGAATGAGGTGATTGATGCTAGAAATGATCTTAGGTAGCTAGGATGCTCCTTGAGTCTCACCTTTGACATAGACGTTAGGTGGAATGAATCACAATAATTAAATCATGCAAACTTGTAAAACGTAGGTCAATGCATGCTCATTTCCTACGAGTAGCTTTATGTTACTCACCCCTACGATACTGGGGCATATTTCAAGTACAAGAATTAAAGTTGAGACTTCCATTATGCTTGGATAACTTGTGGACTTGAAGACTTCCATTTTTGTAAAGGTTGGCTCGGAATGCCAATTGTAGTCTTAATTGTCAAATGTGTATATTTGATTCGAAACTTGTAATGTGTGTCTAAGCACACTTTTGATTCTCCTTTTATGTATATGACATGAGGCTAAGGACCAAACTTCTTTTAGAATCACATTTATGTCATGGATGTTGATTTTTGCCTTTAATGAGATTATATGAAATTCATGCGTTTTAGTATACTATTTTGCATTGGAGCGTGTGTTGTGTATGAAATTCGTTATCTAGAATTCATTTAACATGTATGAGGTGTGGCCAAAGGCCAAACGACATTTTGAAACCATCTCATGATTTTAAATTCCAAGTTTTCGTTACAAACTTCATTTTTGGCATTTTGGCCGTTGGGGGGGTCATATTTTGTATCGACCATATTTTTGGGCCATGGACCATCGTAGCACATCTTACTAGGTAAGTTACGTTTGCGTGCATGGTCGTTTCCGGGCAAAGCTTATTCTTTGGTGAAATGAGCCTCCTACGGACTTATTTTACACTTTTGTTGCATAATCTGACCTGAGGGTATTTTGAAAATTTTCTTTGGGAAATAAATTCCGTTCTTCACGTGGTTGAATAGAAAATGTGATTTTAGGGGGGGTTTCTTCTTCGTGTTTTTCCGGAAAATGTCATCTTGACATCGGAAACCATTTTCGAAGTTCAGCTCTCAGTTTTTAAATTTAGCAGCTTTTTGGACCTCCATGACCAGATTTCATGGAGGGGCATTTTGGGCATTTTAAATTACATATTTTTCGATTTTCTTCAAAGGTCATGTAGAAAACTCGATTTTGAGGGGGTTTCTTCTTTGTGTTTTTTCAGAAAATGTCATCTTGGCCCTCAAATTTCCATTTTTTTCGGAAAAACCCCTGCTGCCAGGGTTTCTTGCTGCCCATTCTGCCGCCTTCACATCTAAACGGTTACGAGGGGTTTCGTAACCAGTTAGATGAGTGTGGGTAGTGTATATGTCGTGATTTTTGGGCTCTTAACTAGTTAGGAAGGTCTCCTAACCGGTTAGATGTTCTTGGTTGTCATATTTTTGACCGTTTTGCCCCTTCTTCTTCCGTTAGCCATATCTTCTTCATCCGGATTCCGAATCAAATGATTCTTGAGTCTAAATTCATTAATTTTTCGTTGTCTTTTCAATGGTGTGCTCGGTGGCACCCACTTTTAAGCTGAAAATGACGATTTCGCCCCTAGGTTCATTCTTGTTCGTTTTTAAAACATTGCTTCCGCATTTGATTCCTTTGGGTTCCGTGACCTCGTTGAGGGTCATAATGGTGTCTTAGAGCTATGTTGTATTTTTAGAGACCGTTGTTTTGTCTTTTGCTTCCGCATTTCGGATTCGTTATCGGGTCATCTTTCGGTTTATCACTAACGCACCGGATTGAAAAACTTGGGCCGTCACAGATTCTCCAAACACCAATTCCACAACTATAGCGGCTATATCTTGTGCAGTTGCTGATGATAATGCTCTTCTCAACTCAACTTCATCACCTCTGAAGCCCCCTTCAAACGACGATTTCTTCTCTTCCACCTCTTCCTCCTCCTCCTTCGACGTTCATGCCAACAAGCCTTCGTCACCGTCGCCACCACCCACTTTTGATTGGCCTCAGATCCCTATATCATGGCTTTCACTGTAATTTTTAAAATGTAAGAAGTACTGTTTGTAATTATGCCTAATCTCTAGGGAGGTAAATAATGTTATTCCAAATGTTGAGTGTTTGTTGTCATGGAATTTTACTGGGATTTTGAAGTTAAAGTTATAACTTATACGGTCCTTATCACAAGTTTTTAATTTTTACCATTACTGTGAAACATGAACGGCCGTGTCCCGTAAAAAATCAGAGCAATCTTTTTTTTTTTTGTAATTCAAGTTATTGAATTGGGCTTTAGTTGATAGAGGGGAATCAAACTTATGGGCCTAGAGTCTAGACAAGCTGAGCACAGTTACCTTACCTCGCTCTGATAAGACTGTTATTGGTAAATGGCAATGGGCTATACAATTCGGGTAGATGGGTCGTGGATGTGGTGTAACGAATTCAAGATAGAACAAATTTAACTAAATTTGATATTTGTTATCATGAATTTTTTTTTATTTTAATTTTTAATCTCATACTTGGGTGAAATACGCAAATTTCTACTACACAATCCAATAACATATTGGACTTTAACGAATTTTAGTGATTTCTATTAGAATTAATTAATACGTGAAGCACATTAATTAATAGACATTAACTTTGAAAGAAAAAAAAAAAAATTAATAGACATTAACGAGAAAGAATTAAGTTTATGAAATGAAGCACATTAATTAATACTTTAATAGCTATGAGATTCGAAATATTTAGAATAATAATATCATACTAAATTCAGGTATTTAGGTGAAGAAAAAAAGTATAATAATAACTCACTAATTAAGTCTCATGAAGATATAATCTTAGATCTTGAATATTTTGATGCTAGTCTAATTATATGGGAGTGAGAGGTTGCAACTTGAACTAGAGTGAAGGAGAATGGTGGAAAGGTAGTCTAACTTGACCCGAGTATTCTCGTGTCATTGGTATTCCTGTGTCATACAAATTTTATTAAAGATTACACCAATTCATCCAAAATCATTTCTTAAGTCTCTTCGTTACACATGACTTACGATTCATGCTATCAAGCGTAAGAATACACATTTTTAAAAAAGACATTATGTGATGTTGCGGTCAAATTCCATTATGAAAATTGATTGACGTAAAAAAATTTATTAAATGAAACTACGAGGAATATCAAGGGATTTGAAGGAGTATTTGGGCCACGCTACTTAAAATTGAATCGAGAATCATAAGAAACTGAGAATGAATACTTTCATTATTGTAAAGAGTTGAATAATAGTGGAAAAGTCACTTGGAATTTAAGAAACTTCAACAACTGTTGGGTGTGACATAGTTGAAGTTAAAGCCACTCCTTTATTCCCATAACCACCCTATCACTCACTTCATTTTATTATATTTTAAAACTCATCTGCCAATAAGAAAATGACGTGACTTGGATTTTTAACCATTGCTTAAGCTTTTTAGGACAATCCTTCAACTATTTTTCTTGAGACCTATTTGTTTGGATGAAAATTAGAGAAAAACGAAAGGAATAAATTCACAGGTTTAATGAAAGAAATAGAGTAGAAGTAAAGAGATAAGTTACGAAAAACAAACTTATAAAACTTCTTATTTCAGGCCAGCAAGATATCCATATTTTTCCTTGTATACATTTAGAAAGAAAAGGAAAAAAACAAACATAAACATGGACAACATGACAGTGACACATGCATTATTTTCATTGTCAAAATATAATATGCTGTTCTGTCATACAACAAACCCCTCTAATTAATGTTTCTACAAATGCGATTTGAAGACTTAACCAATCTCTCAAATTGCGTGACTCATTTCAAATTTATCTCATTGAATAAGGCATAAATAACAAACACCCCCACAAGACACGTCTCTCTTTAGGGTAAGAAAGACCCGAGAAAGTTGACTTTGTAGAATATCTCCTTAACCAACCACAAATATAAGTAATATTTAGAGACAGCACTAGTGCCCTCTTAGAAGGTATCCATACCCTAGCACCTTCCACCTTTAGATGCTCTCAAAATTCATTTGGTAGGAAAATCTTGTAACAATCCAACGGCCCAAATAAAAGGAGTCCTATACTGTAAAAGTGGACCCTACCACAATACCATTGGTTTATGAAAGTATTATGTATGCACCCTCTTCCGGACCATATGAACACCCTAACAGGCAGGGAGAATCGTTGAATAGAGAGGGAGAGAAACATGAAAAAACAGCAAAGGAAGAGAGAGAAGGTAAGATCAAAGTAGTCCTGTTTTTTTCTTTTTAAATCCAACCGCTCTAATTCCTTTTCACCAAATCCCAGTATATTAAAAACCCATTTCTGAAATCATTCAATCCTCGATACGCAGATCGCAGTTTCTCAAATTTCGATCAATTCCTTTCCATCTGATTCATTTCCCCTGTTTTTGGTTTGTCTGCGACAAGAACACATCCAATTTTAGGCATGTCTGTCTGAAAACTTGTCTTATCCATGTTTCTATAACTTCCTATTATCTCTCTCTCATTTGTCGGTTTTATTTTGATCCGCTCTATCAAAATCTATAAACTACGTCAATAGATAGATTTTGATTCTCCAATTGTCAATTTCCAGAAATTAGAATCATTTCTCCCCTAAAAAAAAACTTTTGATTTCTCTGTAAATTTGAGGGTTTTTTGTGTTAAAAATTCGAATTTGAATTCATTTCCCCTGTTTTCCTGGCCTCCCACTTTCAAATTCCCATCTGGGTCTGCCCAAATTGGAGGAAACTAAATCATGGGAATTCAGAAAGACAGGGTGAGATTCAATGTCGGAGGCAGGATCTTCGAAACAACGGCGACAACCCTTGCTATTGCCGGTCGTCATTCGCTCTTCGGAGCAATGTTTGATGACAATTGGAACCTCCGAAACAATGACACCGACGAGCACTTCATTGATCGGAACCCGGACTGCTTCGCCGTTCTCCTTGACCTCCTCCGAACTGGGGAGCTCTACATTCCCTCCCACATCCCCGAAAAACTTCTGTACAGAGAAGCAATGTTCTATGGCCTTCTTGACCACGTCCGGTCTGCAAAATGGGGCCAATTCGATGGTAACAGACTTAGACTCTCGCAGTCGATCTCAGGCCGAGCACCGGGGGATGGGACGGCCATTCGAGCCGGCCCCGATGGTGGGTGCTGTGTGGCCCATGGAAGTATGGTCCATGTCTATGATTGGATGCTGGAAGAACACCCTCCACTTAATCTTGATTACCAAAGAGTCAATGATGTTGGTTGGATTGATTCAGAGGGTATTGTGATCAGTGCCAGCGAGCGGCTAGGCCGCTGCGAAGGTGGGATGGCTCTGTTCAGTGCATCAACAGGGGACCTCAGGCACAAATTTCAGGTAACACATGACAATCAAGTCAAGAGCTACACAGGTGGTGCTTTGAGCTTTAGCTCAGATTACAAAATATTTTCTAGTTGTAAAGGTAGGAGCAATGAGTATGGGATTGGTGTTTGGGACCAAGTCACCGGGAATCAGATTGATTTTTACTATGAACCACCTGGTTGGTCACTAGGTGAAGCTGACAAGCTTCAATGGTTACATGGTTCCAATTGTTTGTTGGTTGCTACTTTGTTTCCTAGGAAGGACAACTGTTACATTAGTTTGTTGGATTTTAGAGATAAAAGCATGGTTTGGTCTTGGTGTGACATAGGATCTCCAATAACTGTGGATGAGAAGCGAGTTCGTGACGCGATAGCAATGGAGGAGAGCAGTTCTATATGTGTGGTGAATGAGTATGAGGATTTAGGGTTCATGGATTTGAGGAGTGCTGGTGTGGGCGTAAGGTGGAGCTCAAGGAGTCGTTTGATGAAGGGGAAGATGCCGGATGAGCCGTGTTACCCTAAATTGGCATTGCATGGAGGGCAGCTTTTTTCCTCCATGAATGACAGTATTTCAGTGTTTTGTGGTCCTGACTGTGTATTGACATCTAGGCTAAGAAGGAGTTATGGAGGTTCAATTTGTGATTTTTCGATAGGTGGTGATCGACTTTTTGCTCTTCACAGTGAGGAAAATGTGTTTGATATATGGGAGACACCACCTCCTCCAATGACATGATTCTGCTTGATAATTGTTTGTTTTTGCAGTTGTGTATTACATTTTGATCTTGAATTTTTATTTGTTTCTTTCTTTAGAATGTAGAAGATGAAACTGCAGTTGTTGCTTATAGGTTTAGGCGTATTCTTCAATGATTATCCAGAGTTGTGGATTTGTACAGGGCTTTCTTTCTCATAATGACAATGTAATGAAACCGATTGCTTAACCACCATAATTTGAAATCTTGTTCTCATCTGTTGCATGCATTATCTAGGGTCTACTTGCATAAATTATTACAGTATTATTTTTTCTTGTTTCTTTGTGACTAATCAAAAGAAGGCTCTTCCAAGTTCTCTCTCTTTTGAACCTTTTCTTCTTTTTATTATAGCTTTTATGAAGTTGGTTCCCATCTCTTTAAGTTTAATGCATTCACTTCTTTCAGTAAGATTCTAAATTCCCTGAGGAGAAAAGAGTTTCAGATGTGTGTGTGTGTGTGAGAGAGAGAGAGAGATGCTCCTACATGTGAAAATTACAACTGCTTCTGCATGAGAGAGGCTTTTTTAAGTGGTTTGCTTTCATGTTCTTAGCTATTGCTTTAGTTTCAGTTCCTAATGTAAAGACCACAGACTTCAAAATTATGAGCTTTTCTAGGCAGCAAAAACCTGTCTATGATTACATCCACTTCAACAAATCCAACTAATTGTTCAAGATTCCTCTGCTTTTGTTCAATTGTTTAGCACTATCCAACAAAACTTAGCCCCTCAAAGACGTATTAACTCATTTAGCTTGACCATCCCACAGTGATTTTCAAGCAATTGTTTATCATAAACATTATTTATTTATTAATAAAAATACTAATAAATAGGGTAACAAATATTTCATCAAGTGGAAACTCTGTGAGGAGGTTCACAATAAGTGGTTCCAATTTCCAACCAACATTACTCTGAATTTGCATGCATATTAATTCATAAGCTGCCAATTCTGACATCTGGTTGAACTTTGCCCAAAAGATAAATTAAAATAAAAAAAGTAGAAAAGTGTAAGTTAGATCACATAGGGCCATTATATTGCAAATGAGATCTTGTAATTTAATGAAAACCCACTCCTCAGGATTATTTTGCCCTTAAAGAGTACAATAGGGAAATCATCATAAAGAAAGGCCAAGTGTTACCAACTTCTAGGATACTTCCTTCAATGGTTTTCCTCTATTAATGAATCTGAACGTGACAACATGTAAGAAATTGCAATGGCATACCACTAATTTGACCCCCCAAAAAAAAAACATACTAGTAAGAGAGAAGAAATTAATTGAAAAGGCTATGCTCCCTACAAGGCATCAAGCATAATCAGGCATTACTTTTTTAAGAAAAGTGATCGGGTGGGATTCTTCAGGAGCAAGTACGTCGAAGGCCACATAATTTTGCTCTTCACTGTAAACATGGCACATCGTCAATATGGTCTTCATTAGACGCCAATTCCAAGTAGCCTCGTTCAGATGCTGTTGGTGGCATGGAAAAGCAGATGAATGAAAACGGCAAGTCTGTCAGAAATCTCATGCAGACACCATGATGAAGTGATTACATTTAGTCATTATCTTATGTGCGTGTCTTTTTCATTTTCCCACTTGTTTGGGGGACGGGGGGTGGTTTAATGGCTTTACTTTAAAGGACAGTTCTACATTTCCAAACGCAACAGCAAATATTAAGGAGTGTTTCCAGAAATGATGGTAGCATCAAAGACCCCCCCTACAAAGTAATTTTCATTTAAATGACAACAGGAGGATTTCAATAAAATAGCTGTGGCTTGAGTAAGATGAATTAGAGAAACAGATTGATCATACCTTTCCCCAATTCTCTCGGAGAGACTGATGAGCTGCCCGCAAATTATAGCTTGGTATTCTAGAAGAGATATGATGGGGGATGTGGACATTAATATCATGACAGAGGATCTCTACCCTGTCCAGAAGAAAGAAAGAACGTTAGAATCTTTTAGGTTCACATAGAATAACACTAAGCAATTATTTCATAGGGCAAGCCACTAAAATCGAAGCATCACAAGGCTGTCTAGGAACATCTTTTGGATCTCTCAAACTAAATACACTTAATGGCACATCACTGAAAGAATCACTTCTGTAAATTCTTAATCAAACAATTAACTCTTGTAGCATTTTTTTTATCATAGACAAAGGAAGACGCTGTACTAGTTATGGAGTCTAGAAATACTTAATGAATCAAAGAATAGAACTCAAAACATGTTCAAAAGTCTAAGAAAGATCAAACTATATTGTTCATGAGACGGGGTTCATCCGAACACCCAAGCCAGAAGTCGAGCACAACAGACTAGTTGCCTTTTCGAAAAACAACCAAAGAAAGAACCTCTAAAATATCATGGCCATCCAATATATCACACTTGTTACTTTACTTCAAAAGTGCATGATTCATTACCAGCGAGGATAGTCACAGTGAACTGTCCCATTAAGCTGGGCCTCAGCTGCATTCCAGTCATCCGAAGATTTAAAAGGAATGTGGGGTGCCGTATGATGGACCATTGTGAAAGTACTCATCTACACAATCAAAAGAAAACAAAAATTCTTAGATACATAAATTAGAATACTTTATATGAAACATGAGATTATCTGGTCTAAACTTTTTAGGGAAGCAACAAACGGGATGGACAAAACCAAATTGACAGGTCCAGTAAAGGCTGATTGGAGTATTTTACTGACACATAAATTTTTCTGGATTTGTTCACAGCTGGAAAAATTTGTGTTTAATCATAAAACAAATACCAAGAAACAAGTAGATAAAAATCAATATTATTCAACAATAATTCCACAAGAAACTTACAAAATATCAATAATAGATTTGAGAAGGGGGAAACTACTGTTATGGGAGACTAAAGCAGATGGCAGTTTTCTATTGTGCTCCTCTCTCTTTTCTACCCCATCACCAGAGTGCTCCAACCTTTCCCACATGCTTGACAAACCAAAAAAGGCCTAGTGTGGACCAACATGTGTGATTCTGGAATTAATCCCAGAGAATTTTCAGATATCTGGAACTGGTTTGCGCCTGAATATGGCACAGTGATCCCAAGAGAATTTTCCAAGAGTTTTGCAAATATTCAGAACACCAATAGAGTCATAATTTATTGAACTATATGTGATGAAAGTATCTCATTCAAAGTCCTTGGACGAAAAAACACATAGCAGTTAGAAATATATATATATATATATATATATATATATATAAAACACACACAATACCCATAGTCATAACTCATAAGGTCTCCTGTCAGGCCCTCCTGAAGTTGAGTGCAAGGCACAACATAAGATGCAAGCCTGAACAAAGTCAAATACATGTATGGGAAATGTGATATTGTGGCCCGAATTTGGTGCCGGGTCGCGTTGTGACCCGCTTGTGACCCGATGACCCGTTGGATGAGCTAAAATTTTTGACCTGGTTTTTGCTCATGGGTCGTGGACCCTAATTAGTCTCTTGTAGCCCAATATATAAGAGCCCTTAGGGTTTGGAGTGGAGGAAGAGAGAGACTCTGAAATTTGTACAGAAACAGAGGGAGGGGATGAAAACTTGTAATCTACAATTTAAGGCATAGTGAAAACTTTCGCCGGATCCCAACCGTGGACGTAGGCTGTTGCCGAACCACGTATAAATCTGTGTTCTTTGTGTAGCGTGTTTTGATATTGTGATTCTTGGTTGACCTTGGATTCATTGCGTTTGTCATAAGAGGAAAGTATATTAAATGTACTTATAGTTTAAACAATCCAAAACATGTAACACAGAGTAGAAAAGTTTAAAAAATGAGAATGCCAGAAATACCTATTAAGAGGGTCAGTTAAATCAATATATATATACGCACTTTGCAATGCCATTGCCCAATGTGGTTCCCATTATACGGAGGTATTAAGAAGGGTGAATTGCAATAGACCTAACTTTTGGCATTACTAGCACAAAGTGGTAACCTCATTTGCATATGCATTCAACTAAATCAAATACCATTCGCAATTCACATGTGCAATAATAAAAGGCTAAGATTTTAGATACATATTACATTATCATGAAATTCAGAATCAAACACTAGAAACATATAAGCCTACGAACCCCAAATAAAAAATAATTTCTATGATTTAACTTTCTGTATATACAAATAGTGTAGAGCATGTCAATCAATGAGCATGAAAAAGATGAGAAAATAAAAAAGATATGATTAAAGGCACACTTTTCTCAAATCGAAGCCTACTAAAAACTGTGCACCAGAGGGTTATATGTGCAGCTAATGAAGAGCTTCACCTGCCATAGAATAGGACAAATTGGGGGGGGGGGGGGGGGGGGGGGGGTGGTTGTGAGAGTTCCAACTAGGAAAGAAAAAAAATAAGAGATTTGGATCTTTTTGGGCCTAGGTGCACCTTTAACAACTATGGTGGTGATTACTTTTGAAAGGTGATTCCAAATTATACCTTCCTCCCATATAATTCTCACAGACCACTATGTTTTCATAAAGCAGATTTCATGTGATTGGCTAGATTGCTACATTGAAAATTTATACGTTCATTCAAAAAAATTTAGCAACTTATAGTTTGCCTAAAAGTGAACAGAACTATTCACAAGAAGTGAGGAACTAGTAGTACCCAAAAGTGATAGCCCAACCATGGCATTAACCAGAACTTGATCCATCCCATAATTCTCAGACTGTGAAAAAAAAAAAAGAAGAGAGATTTGGATCTTTTTGGGCCTAGGTGCACCTTTAACAACTGTGGTGGTGATTACTTTTGAAAGGTGATTCCAAATTATACCTTCCTGCCACATAATTCTCACAGACCACCATGTTTTCATAAAGCAGATTTCATGTGATTGGCTTGATTGCTACGTTGAATATTGAAAATTTATACGTTCATTCAAAAAAAATTAGCAACTTATAGTTTGCCTAAAAGTGAACAGAACCATTCTCAAGAAGTGAGGAACTAGTACCCAAAAGTGATAGCCCAACCATGGCATTAACCAGAACTTGATCCATCCCATGATTCCAGTCTTGTAGATAATCAACGGCCATCCAATTGCCATGAATGCAAAAACGCAAGCCAAGCTTATCTTCACCCTTTTAACTTCATTTTGTCTGAATTTCTTTAAATCAAAGTGCCAGATCAACCTGTTAGGATTCTTAATACAGTTAATATACATTTATCAAATAGGAACACAAAGCTGGAAAGCCTAAGCCATTAATAATAATTTTATGCATTAATCATACCAGTGACCTATAGACATCCAAGGCCTGAATGGGCCATATCCATAAATAATTGCCTTCCGCAGCACTGTGCGTGAATCAAACTCCTCTTTCAAGACAGGGTGCCAAGCTGTGTCTTCATGTAACCTAGAAGAAGAAAAGGGACAAGAAGGTGAAGCTATATAAGTAAAGATAAATAGAAGGAAATAGAAAAATGCAATGGAAGTAGGAAATCAGCATGAAAACCCTTTTTCTCCCCCATCCCCTCCCAATCAAAAATATAAGAAATGCACATAAGCGTACACGTACATATACCTGATGCATGAATAAAGAGTAAGGTTCTAAAAACAGCAAAAAGACAAAAATAAAAATAGAAAAAAAAAAAAAATTGAGATCTTTATATAATATCAATAGATATCATTTCCAGTATTTCATTTACGTTGGAAAAAAAAACAATTATCTCTAAAAAAACACCGAATCTCAAAAGAGTGAACAAAAAAGATAACACCGACCTCCGAAAAGAAAAGAAAAAAAGACGAGGGAAGAGAAAGGAACCTCAATCAAGATCATGACCACCATAAGGAGAAGTGGAAGCAAGACATAGCAAGGTAAAAATAAATGGAAAACATAGCTCAAAAAATACCATCGGGCAAGGACAAATGAACGGATTTAGAATAAAAACAAAAGACTTTTGGTCACAACCTGCCCTGCTGTGTAGATGCTGTCCGCTTTGCACTCTCTCCGTGCTCACGGTTTTCAAAATGCGTCTACACAGTTGAGAGGTGTTCACACATATAAGTGCCAACAACCTCTCCCCCCTAGGCGATGTGGGACATCACAACCACCCCCTCTTGGGACCCAGCATCCCTGCAGGCCTGTGAAGAATGGGCTTGTGCACGCCCCCCCATTTCCGGCTGGGGATTGGCTTTGATACCATCTGTCATGTCCACATAATAAGGACACACTCAGTACACAAAATTGTGTATCGTTATTAAAATAAAAAAAAGGATTCAAGGGTATTAAAAAATATAAGTTGATTCGAGAAACACATTTCTCCTAAGCTTTCCAATGTTTCCAAAGTGGCTCAAAAAGTTGACTACCATTTTCACTGACTTTCTAGAATAATTCTGATACATTCTCAATGATTTCTCCTAAAACTTTTAAGAAGTTTTATTCCATTTTCCAAAACAAGTTTCCAAAAAATAGGTTTCCGATGTGAAACCAAGTTTCTCAGCAACTATAACCAGGGTAATGCAAACTATCACTATCACGAACCAATACTGGGGATTTAAAGAAAAAAAAAAAGTCTAATAAAATTTCATGAAGAATAGCACAAAATAGAGTTGGCTTGACTAAAACCAAGAAAGTAGTAATTAATCAAAACAAGGGAGACTTAGGCATATATCTATGTGAAATTCATGTGAAAAACAGTTTTATATATGCTATGTAAATTTGGCAAAAACTAAAAATGAGCATGATAAGAGCTGGTATATATCTTTTGAAATCAGTTGAAACAATTTGGGTCCACCGAAAATTTTGTGAACACAGTGTTAGGCAACTGATTTAGGCTCGAGCATGTGGGCAAGGTGTGTTTATTAGTTAACCACCTGAGGACTATTTCTAGAAAACTTGGAGTAGCTGTGTATCTTTCAAAGAATTTGAATAATTTTAAATTGCAGTCACACCTGGAGTCCATTGAAACTGGTGGTCCATAAATTGGAGTTGAATAAGATACCCTAAGGGCAATATGGTTGCCATAGCATAGGTGATGGCTTTATATGTCAAAGGAATAAAGCTCGAGCCATGCTATGTCATTCAGCAAGCAATTTCAGGGACAGCCAGGGGTTTTAAGCACTAACTGGGTGTTTTAAGTTCCATGAGTGCTCATGGTTTCAGACACCAAAAATTTGCAAGAAGACATTAGCACTGTATGTAGCTTTCGAGCACAAAGACATGTTGCCTCTAATCAGTGCTCAGTAATCACTTGTTTAGCAGGCAGCTTGAGCTATTATGGCACCATCAATCCTCTGAGTGCCTGCCATGGGTATTGGCCTAATTAGGTCATGCCACTGAGATCACATAGTGCTGTTGGCACAATAAGGAGGCAACACCATGCATGGATGTTGCCAAAATCCACATTTCTAATCCAATGGGGGGAAATGAATTTGGTAGCTTTGGTGTAATCTGCTTAGCCCGTTGGTAGGTCAGTATGTGCTACAGATCATAGGTGTCGCTTACTTGCCATTCTCAAGGGCATGCTGACAAATGCACAGCAGGCATGACATGACCCTCATAACTCAGGTGCATCATGCATGCAGTTGCTACGTGTGCTATGGATGAATATTAGCTGTCACTATCTGGAATGGGCAATCTCCCCTGAGCAATCCAATGGGGGGAATGAATTTGGTAGCTTTGGTGTAATCTGCGCATCCCGTTGGTAGGTCAGTATGTGCTATGGATCATACTATCATAGGTGTCGCTTACTTGCCATTCTCAAGGGCATGCTGACAAATGCACAGCAGGCATACCATGTCCATCATAATTCAGGTGCATGCAGTTTGCTACGTGTGCTATGGATGAATATTAGCTGTCACTATCTGGAATGGACAATCTTCCCCCAAGTTATCCAAGGATGTTAAGAGGCCCCATGAATAAAATTACCTAATGTGAAAGGGGTAAAATACCACGAAAAGAAAGCCCAAAAATAAATAGATGGATACTTTGTGAATTTATTTCTACCATACATTTTATTCCCTGGAATCATTAACTTTTTCTATTATTTATGTTGTGTCAAGGAGTTCCCAACCTATTCTGAATCAAGAATGATCCCCATGGATGGATACAAACGAAAATCTACTTTTGGTATGCATTGGTGTATATTTTGTCTAATTATATATGTTCATAACCTTTTCCTTTGGAAAAAAGTGTATGGCATTCCAACCGCTAGAAGCCTTGTAACAATAGAGTTCCTACTAATAAAAGGGATTAACAAGATATAATCATCTACAAACGGTTCATCAGAGTAGGCACTATAACTACTTAATCTACAGCACCTATCGTCCAATTATGGTATATCTTGATAAAATAAAATAAAAAAAATAAAGTTAAAGTCAATAAGGTATAGTTCTATCCAGTGCCCATTATATTAGTTATTTATTAAGGAAATAGGGGGGAGGGAAAGATGAGAGACAAAAATGTCTTCAACATGATAACTCCTTGCGTAGGAGCAGTGGTCAGAAATGCTAACATTTGGACTAAAGAATTCTCCAAATGATACTTATTGGTCAAAAAATAATGGTCGTAACAAAATTCTAATCTAATGCAGCAAAAAAACAATTTATACTCGTACAAGTAAGTGACTGATACGGGTATCATACATACATGTTTGTTTTCGCATGATGCCGGTCATGTTTGAAACGCCATGGCTCATAGGGGTATATTAAGGGCAAAAATGCCAGAGTCCCAACAATGTCTTCCACTAATTTGTTCTTCGAGAATGATTTGTGCGCACAATCATGTCCTATAACAAAGAACTTAACGACGGGGGGAAAAGAAGGGGAGGAAAAAAAAGAGTTGGCTGGAGTGCACAGCTTATTAAAAAGGCTAAAGGAAGGTAAAAGCAAAAAACAATTTGATGTAAAGAGAAGTTGTATAAAAAACTAACCCCTGTGACCGCAGTGCCTGTCCACGCCCAAGCCAGAGGAAGTAGATACCATGGGGCTTTGGAGATCATGAATAGCCCCAGCATATAGGAAGAGGCAGATATTAATACCGACTTCCACGCTTTCGCATCATCAATCTCAAACACCTTAAAACAAAATTTTAGGAAGAAAATAAGTACCAGAAAAGCGTCAAAAACTTGTTCTTGATAATTTACTGTCAGAATGAATATTTAATCATTCAGCATTATAGCTGTTTGGCCTGTTTGATTGGTACTGCTTATAACTAATATGACATTTATAATTCAATGATATAATGGGTCCCATTTGGTTTTCCTTGTGATGACAAATGACTTACTAAGTCGGTAGTCCAAGAATTGCTTTTGTATAGCAGGAGTCATAGCTTAAAATCCAAAAGTACGTGGAACATATTAGGTACTAGAGTCTATTGTGTCTAATAAGATTTTACATCCCACCTTGTTTTAGTTATTTTATATCTTCTCTATTTCATTAATGAGTTAAGTTTTTTGCATTAAATAAGTTAAGGTCAATTCGGTAACATTTTGCAAAGTATTTTTTGCTTTGGAATCAACAAAAGGGATTAAGATCTGAATGAGAGAATCGTCTGAGTGTTGTCAAACTTCTCTAACAATGCATCAATTAACCACTTGATCAATGTTTGGCCTGGAAATCCTCATAGAAAATAGGAGATGATCGAATTTAGGTAAGCACTGTTAAGAACAAACAAGAAGATCAATAAAGAATTTCACAAATTCAGCGCTTGTAGAAATTACCTTTTTCGGAAATGAATCAATGATATCCTTCAATGTAACATTTTCTGGAAGTGGTTCTCCAATTTGCTTAAAACCATAGCTTTCAGATAATTGTTTCCTTTGCTCCGCACCATCTGCTGGAGATGGTGCAACTGGAATTGCCACAGCTTGTACAACTTTGGTCTTCCGCAGGGGTTCAAAATATCTTTGGTGTTTGACCCTTGTCTGGGGAATTTCCCACTTCAAATAGTATAAGCCTGTCCATAATTGTAATCATTACAGGTGCCCCATAGATAAATGTGACCAATACCACACGTCATATAAGTCCTAAGAATTGTACAGATGATACCCAATATTAGGGCCGAACTAGTCCATTCCTCCCTACATCTCACTTTGGATGGAAATTGCACTAGGTAACAGCCCTTTTGCAGAACAATTCTTAGTTTTATGTTTATTTTTACTTAGTCTCTCAATGGGGACCAAAACTAAAAGTAAGGCGTAAAGCTCACATCAATGCACCAAATCTATGATAGTAATAAAAAACTAGACATAACTATCAAATAAAAAGTACAATGAAGTCAAGAATCAATGAGCAAGGGTCAGTAAAGGAAGTATTGGACACCAAAGCTAAGGCTCAACCTTTTGTTTTATTGGCTAGGATGAGAATGCACTTTCTTGATGGAAGTGTTAGACGCCCAAGTTATGGCTCAAATTTTTATTCTACTATGAGGAGAAAGTTTTTCTCTATATTTTAGTTGTAGCTGAAATCAGATGAATTAATCAAATTTGATATACAAAATTAAGAAGGACAAAAAAAAAAAAAAAAAAAAAAAAACATAAAACATAAAATATGCATTAAAATATCAAATTTTGTTGAAACTTCCTGACAAGCACCAACTTTTAATACAAATTCAGTTTAACTCCTTAACCCCACCAGGCAGCCCGGTTCCCTATCCTCCAAAATGGGGGAGGGGATGAGAATGCAAGTATTTTTTGAGAGTTACATTGCATTTTAAAAGAGTGAATGTAAAAAAGATAATGCTCGATATGCACCATATAAAGAAAACCAAAAATCCCCATTGGAACTAAAAAAGAAACTAAAAGGAAAACAATAAACCTAAAATTTCAGATGATAATACGAAATTCTAAAGCCCTTTCTCGTGTGTGTGTGTTGTGTGCGTGTGAGAGAGAGAGAGTTGCATACCTGAAGGTTTAAGTGGGGAAAATTTATGACTCTGAATTGCCCTTTGACGGGGGCCCTGAAACCAAATAACAATGCATACTAACATGTAACAGCTATAAATAAATGCTACCATATATATATATATAAATATAAAGAGAGAGAAAGTTACCATGAGAAGGAAGCTTGAATCTGCAAGTCTGCAAGCCATTTTGAGCAGAAGGGCAGAAATTCCAATTCAGAAGGCCCCCTGAAGATGAGGGTACCCCAACCCCCTTTGGCAGTGTACAACAACAGATAGCGGGAACTGGAAGACAAAGGCAAAGAGGACCTCACAACATGCCTCCACACGAACCCTTTATATTTAGGGGTAAGATTAGTGTGGTTAGGATTTTGTACTACCACCACCACACCACCGAGTCCTCACAACCATATGTACTGTTTATGCATCAATATTGTTTTTCTTTATAGCTCCATTAAAAAAACAAAAAAAAAAAAAAACACACACAACACACACACACACAACAAAGTAATTTTAAGAACACTATCAATAGAAAATCAAATTGCCTTTCATCATATGTTAAAAATAAAAATAAAAATAAAAATTCAAATCCATATAAATTGTGTTAGTTATTTATATGGAAGTGCTTATATTTATTTATTTTTGTTGGATTCTAAACTGCCAATACCTCAATTTGCAACGTCTTATTCCTATCGTCCGATAAGGTGTCCATAAAATGAATACTGCCATTGAATTGAATTGTTTTCACACTCTTGGACCTACCATGTGTTTTAGATGGTCCATGACTTCTTATCCGTGTTACGCATGAACCACCAATGAATCATGCGGGAAATCCCACCTATAATGATGAAATTACTTAGACCACCTTTGTTCAAAGTTCCCACCATTCTAAATTTAATTAATGTAAAACGTGTTGATTAACCCATTATTCTTTTGCATGGCTTGAGAAAACCACCTTTTTTTTTTTCTTTTTCTTTTTTTTTTATAAAAATAGTATAAAAGATAACTAGAGAAGAATCAAGTGAAATGGATTGAATATTTTGTTGACCCAAATTCATAGGGATGGGAATTTTTTTTTTTTTTTTTTTCCCCGAACTAGGGATGGGAAATTAAACACATGGATCATTCAGAATTAGGACATTACAGCATCTGATGATATATTAATCTTCTTCTTTTTTTCTTTTTTTCTTTTTGTTCTTTTTAATAAATTAATCTTACTTAGAAAAAAGAAATGAGAAATTGACAACCACATAAATTTGGGCGGAAATTGACACCCACTAACCGTGTTTTAGGTGTCGGTAACATGCATTCATAGGTATAGAGTTTGAAAGTTGACATACAGTGTTTGGAAATTGACATACAAATTACAAAATAGAGTTTGAAATTTGACATATACATGGATATGAGTTGGACATTTTTTTGAACAATCACGTCTCCGGTCAGAATTTGAATCCAAATAATCTTTAAAATAAGTGTAAGAACCGTGTGATACACACTAAGCACTATGGTGTTTTAACCTTTTTTTTAGACATCACTGTTATTTTGAATTTGATCATCCATTTTTATTGTGTAATGATTTGTTATTTTGAATTTGATCATCCATTTTTATTGTGTAATGATTTGTTATTTTGAATTTGATCATCCATTTTTATTGTGTAGAGATTTATATGTGTGTGTAAAAATTTATTATAAATTCTAAAGTTTAAAAAATTAAATGTATATTTTATATTTAAATGAAAGTATCTTTAATTTATTTTTTAATTATATATAATGAAAATTGATACTATATTAAATTTTAATTGGGAATATTTTTTTTTTCTTTTTTATAATTTGAGATTTTCATCCCATGTGATATTCTCTACATTATTCTCATGACAATTGTGAGAACAAATATTTATTTATTTTTTATTTTTTTTCTCCATTTGACGAGTAAAAGAAATACATATATTATAACTTTTTTAGCTTATGAGTGACATTAAGTCCTAAGAACTGTGAAACTCTCCCGGACAGAGATAATACATTATTAGGAGAAATATATGGAGACGAAATTTTATTATTTTATTATTTTTGAAAGGTGAGAGAAAATCCTTAAAAGTTGGTTAAATATAATTAATATGCACATAACACTCCTATAGTATCAGATTATTTGCATACATATCCCCTTGAGCATTTCCAAAAAAGTAAAAAGGCAAAACGGGTATTACAATATTATTTTATGTCATATCTCAAAAAAAAGTAATTTGAGGGATGTTTTTGCTCAATTTTAAAATAATAAGGGAGTTAAAAGCACACTTTTTAAAAATAAAGGATAAAAGGGCTAGACGAAGTATACTTTAAGGGAGTTACGAAGTGTTTTTTGCTTTTTACTCATATAATATATATATATATATATATATATATATATATATATATATGTATGTATGTATGTATATGTGTGTGTGTGTGTAATATATACTTGCTTAAAGACTAGCAGAATGAAATTCAATAATAACGTGAAAATCACACCAATCAATACTTCGAAATGAGTTTTCTCTCCATAAAATTCATTCTTTCTCAATTTCCTGGTGCTTTATAAATTCAAAGAAGACACATTTTGAAATTCAAAATGTTAAGTGTTACAAGAGGGACTTGTTCCACATTGGAAACGGACAGGGAAGTGAATGGTATATATAGGTTAAGTGTTAGGTCCACTTTAACAGTTTAAGATTTTGGGTCGGATCGCAAAGCACACAACTTGTTACAGTTGGTATCAAAGATAAACTCATTCCTTAATCCGGTGTCACACTAAGCACCCTCTCCGGAGAGATCTGTGTGATACTCCCGAATTTTCACGTGTGGATTAGTAAGGCTTACACCTGAAAACGCGGAATGCAAGAAGAATAAAAAGAATAAATAATTTGATGAAATAAATTCTATTAATAAAATAAATCTGTCCTTACAAAATAAATTTCATAAAATTAAATCTCTAAAATACAACTCGGAAATCCTGTAAGTCAAGGACCCCTGAACCATGTACTACTAATCCATCAGTTCATACATAAATAAGCTAACATCTAATTAACAATAAATGCCAACACTACTTAGAAGTAGATGAGATGAATAGATGAAAGACAAATCTTCAAGTTGCGGATTCTCAACCTCGAGACTGAAACTTCTAATAACCTGAAAAATAAAGTGTGGGTTAAACCCACGAGCAAGCTCCCTCTACTAAATTTCTGAAAACTCATAAATAAAGCATCTATAACCAAAATTATCATAATTAAAGTTTTAACCATTAATATAAGATGACACATATACAAATAAATAATTATATATAATATAAAAATCACGTCTATTTAATGCGATCCTTAAATTACAAAACCATTTAAAAATGATTTAATCATATACATACCTAAATCCATACATTAGGTACATTCACTTTTAAAATAATCTCCTTTAAATCTCAAATTACCTTTTTAAACAGTTAATTATCCATTATATAATAAATAACAACTTAAGAAATATTTTCCTTTAATCTAAATCCCAATAGCCTCTCATATAAGATTTTTATTTCTAAAAATCACATGGCAATAACTTATACTTTGGCAACTCATCCATACCCCAACAAATATTATTTTATTCATACTATAAAATAATACAATATCCTTTAAACATTAGTTTATTGTATTATAAAATATTTATTACCTCCAACTCATAGATCCATTATTCATAGATGTATATTTAATCATCTAACTTACATAACAATATATTTATGCTTTGGCAAAACAAACATGCCTCTAGAAGTATGCTTATTTATATTATGGCGACTCAATCATGCTTTCACAAGTATTTATTTATACTTTGACAAATCAACCATGTCTCTAAATGACAATCTGTTTATGTCTTGACAACTTATTCATACCTCCAAAAGTATATTTTTGTTCATATTATTAATTAACAATTCATCCATGCTTCCCATGTATGTATTTTATTCATTCAATTAATAAGGCCCTTGGAAACTCATCCATACCTCCAATTCAACCACGTACCAAACTTTATAATTAACAATAAGATAAATCATATATAGGCATTCTATGCATATCGTAAGCATATAAATAATTTAAATAAATAGCCTATTATGATTTCATCAACAACATCACATAGAATAGCATGACACACCTCGTAATACAACTTATTAGTTGATTATTACATGCTTACTAAAATACCATAGTTTTAAACATGGTTATTTTTCTCTTTTCCATTAATTCGCGAATCATGTAAAAATAATACAAATATCATGCAATTAAATCTTATCCACTGTTCCCAAAGCCTGGGGTCATGTTTAGGATCTTTTAGAGATCAATTAGAGGTCATTCCGAGAAATTTAACGCACACAACAGCCCTTAGCGCTCGAGCACTACAGACAGTGCTCGAGCGCGGTACGTCCATAGCAATCCAGCCTCCATAGCTTGTCCTTTTCGTCTTCGATTCACATACTAGCAGTCCTACATAATCCTATGACATCCTAAGCCATGATTACGCATCTAATCGTGCATTAACATCAAGTTATAGCATGTTTTAAATCAATATAAACATTTTCTACGAAAACATGTGAATAAATATATACATATACGTAGACCCCGTTTCGTTCCATGCATTTAAACCTATTTCTAGGTGAATTAGTATGGCAAAATAATCTACAGATCTTGATACCCAAGGTGTTAAACTTATGGGTTCTAAGAGGAGAGTTAAAAAAGAACTTGCCAGAAGGTTTCGAAATGAAACCGACGTCGCAAGCTTCCCAGATTTGATTTGTTTTGCACTCCAGCTGCGTTGCCGTCATCCTACTCAAGTCCGGCCTCCCCTTCCTTTTTTCCTTTCTTCCTCTCGGATCTGTCTTCTCTCGGCATCTCTATTCTTTCTCTCTTTCTCTCAGCATCTCTGTCTCTCTCTATTCTCAGCGTACTCTCTCTTTGACAATATATCTCACACCCAAATATATATACCTATATATAATCAACAACTTAATCCCTATAGGATTCTAACTATAATAATATACTTAAATCATATAAATATAAATAAATAAATAAATAAATAAATATATATATATATATATATATATACATACATACATATACACACACATATGTTAAGGAAAACTATCCCTGTAATTATGGTGATGAATATACAGAGTTTGTTAAGGAAACAAATTCCTCAAATTGTGGCAGTATCAAGGACGATCGTCAAAGGTCAATCACAACTATTACACATTAAATCACAGCTATTACTCTTTCTCATTATGCAAAATTTTCATGTAATTACTGTGCACAAAAGGTGTATATATTCTGTACAATTGATTAACGAAAATAT